TCCACTGTAAAGTGACAAGGATGACCAGGTTAAGATTGAAAACAGGAGGGTGGATGTCCCCACATTGCTGTCCCCTTCTTCCTCTGACTTAATGACAAGGCTGGGTGGAGAGTAGTTGGGGATGCAAGCAGCTCTTCTAGGGGATCCTGCAGGGACATCACTCATGGGGCAGAGCCTGGAGGTGGCCTCATGGCTCCCTTTGGATGCCCACAGAGCTGGCTGTGCACAGGGGGAGACTGGGGCCCTGTGGAGGGCTCGAGGGTGCAAACACCACACATGACTATGGCCTGGAGCTGACTTTAGTCCAAAATCCTCATCATAGAGCAGCCTTCTCCTCAGCATGCTGCCATGGCTGACTCAGCACTGTCAGAGCTGTTGGCTGCTCCTCAGGCAACAGACAAGTCAGCGAAGGCTGGAGAACTCTTGGACAGGCTTTTTCAGATTGATGCTTGGCACATCTGGTGTGATGAACCTGGGGGAGGTTCGTGATGCCAGGTGTCTCCGAGAGTGTGAAGAGAAAACTGAGGCCCAGCCCATGTAAATAGCAGATGGAGCAGTGAGGGAGAGGCTGTGGGAGCCATTTATACAAATCACAGTAGGGTGCACTCTACAGAACTAAGGCCTTTGGGTTGCTGGTTTAAATTCAGCTCTCTCTCCCTTTATTTTCTGATTTCCAGTTCCTTTTCTGTTGTTGAGAAAGAAATTTTAGGAAAATAAACTCAAAATGGGATGTGGTAAGCACCCGTCACTGAAAAGCCCAGTGGCTACTCAGGAGGCTGAGGAAGGAGGATCTCTGGTGACCACGAGCTTGAGGTCAGCGTGGGGCTACATAAACCTGCTTCCAAAAACACAAGGAAAATTAAATCAAGTAGCTCAGTACTGAGGGGGACACTGCCAAGCAGGTCTGTACTGTGCCAACAACAGCTGGATTTTATCTCCTGCCACTGCTTGGGAAGGCCAGGATTGAAGACTTTGATTAGTGGCCAGATGTGATTTTCACTGCTGGCTGTGGACTCAGCCTCAACCCACTAGCAGTCACTCCGAAGCTGTTGTCATCACTTCCGCCTGTTGCTGCTTGTCTCATCACTGCAACCTGCACCTTTCAAAATAGGAAAATCAGGTGTTACCCCTCCGCATTTTATTTTTCAACTTCAGTAAGTTTTTACTCCAATATAATTGAAATAAAAATAAAATTCCATTTTTTTATAGCTAGTCTTCATTCCTACTTAATCCTTTGCAGTGCAAATAAGTTCTCCTCCCTTCATCTGAGACCCACCTTTCATGTTGAAGTCTGTTAGAACGCTGGCTGATTTACCGTTTGATTTTTCACCATTGTTTGAGATGAGCGTGAATTTTTTTTTTAGTCTATTAAAACACTGGATTACACTGATAAAGTCTTTCAAACACTGATCCAGTCTTGTTTTCCTGCAATAAACTCCACTTGGTTGCAGGATGTAATTCTATTTAAATATCGGTGTATCCAATTTGCTAACATTAAAACTTTTTCATCAATATTAACAAGAGCTGTTGTACAGTCTGGTTTTAGTATCAGGGCAAAGTATGAGATCGGTATCCTGGCCTAGGTTCTATGAGCACTTGGGGGAAAAGCGGGTATTCAAGCAGCTGTTGGGCAGGGCGCCTGTGAAAGCCAAGTAGATCCTGCTGTGGGCAGCGTTTCTGAGGACACTGAGTCTTGTGTGTGTCGTGGGGGATTGGTCCTTATTATGATCCAGGTTTCCTCTCTGACTCTGGCCATTTTCCTTTCTTACTCAGAAGTCTACCTTCTATAATATTTTGGTAGTCACTCCTGCTCTTGATTCAATATTACGTGGTATAGCTTTTCTATCCTTTCATTGTCACATTACATATATTGTTCTGTTTGAAGTGAGTGCCCTTATACAGCACTGAGATGGGCCATTAAAAACCCTCTACCAATCTGTCTCTTAATTTGCCGTTAGACATTTACACCTAATGTAATATTGTTATGTTGAAGCTTAAATTTGCCACTTTCCTTTTTGCTTTCTTTCTCCTGCCTTCTTGTGGGTAAACCTTTTCTCTTCCTTTTTTGAATTTCATCTGAGCATCTGCGGGTACCCTTCAGCCCTTTGTACAGTGCTTCCTGGGTGGTGCTGGACCTGCACACTATGCTCTTCCTATACATCATACCTGTGTAGCTTAATTTATAAACTTATTAGTGAGATTAATAACAATAACCAATAATAGAGAACAATTGTAATGATATACTGTAATGAGTATGGACTCTCAAAACCTCACTGTCCTGTGCTCACCCTTCGTGACACAAGATGACACTTGCCTATGTGACGAGGTGAGTGACAAGCACCATGACGTGATGAGGCACTGTCCCTGGCAGGCCCTGAGGTCACCGGGCAGAACACCCTCTTCTGTTTGTCTTCAGATTCTTATACTATGTCCAAAACTTTTTTATGATGCTTTCTTGGAACAATAGAAAATGTGTCTACCCTATTTTCTTGAAAATTATAAGTCATTTCCTTGCATTTTTATTTACCTTTGGTTTCCTTAAAAATTACCTGGACAGTAAACAGGAGAACCAGGTATTTCAACTCTTTCATCCTGGATCGCAACACTGTCTTACACTGGCTTTACTTCAAATCAAAGGTAGGTAAAATACAGAAATTCTAAAGCCAACAAGTAACAAAACAGTAAGAGCTTTATAAACATTGAGGCTTGTATTAGTCTGTATTGTTACTGTAACAAAACCAAAAAAAAAAAAGGGTTTATTAAGCTCACAGCTTTTGTAACAAAACACTGGAGGCAGCTAACTTTACAAAGAAAAGGTTTTATTCAGTTTTGAAGGCTCAAAGTCCAAGGTCAGGTGGTCTCCTAAGTTTGACTTCCAGTGAGGGCCCATCAGTGTTATGGAGGAAGAGATCACATCACAAAAGAGAACAATTCAGGAGCCCACCAGCACCGAGCACTGCCTTCATTCCTTTCCAAGAGCAGTTTCCCTTGTGACCTAAGGGTTTAAGACCAGGCTCTTCATGAAGGTCCACACCATCTCTGGACACTGTTGCTCCAGGACCTAGCCTCCAACCTGCAGCCCCTGGGGGACTACCACACCCTGCCCCCAGGTCCTTGTCCCCTCCTGCAAACCGTGCACCACTCCACCCTCCACAGCCTGTCTTGACCCTCTGGGCTTCGCTCAGAAGCCCAAGCCTCATGGAAGACAAAAGGCGAATTCAGCTGTGAGCCACCATGAAATGAAAACACATTATACACTTCCATGGCACAACAGCAGGGCAGGGAGGGGAGAAACATTCCTGAGAGGTAAAAGATGCAAAAAACCCCCACTGCTTAGCAGGGTGGAAGGTCCCAAAGCCCTAGCATCACCTGCACACAGTGGCGAGGCTGGGCCTGAGAGGCTGCTGCCTGGGCTGCACCTTGCAGATGGCTCCTGGGCAGGATGGCATGGTGTGGCTGATTTGCATTTGGAGTCTCCACTGTTTCTGCTCCCACAGCTCCCCAGGCCTTGAACTCCCGGACACTCAGCGAGGTCACTGGCCTCCAGGCCTACTAGGCCACTGAGAACCATCAGTCCGGTTCCTCGTGTGCAGGCAGAACAGGCCCCTCATGTATGTCACTGAGTGGTGCCTGGCTACTTGGGACACAGCTGGGGCAGTTGCACAGTGCTTTGGGGGGGTCAGAACCCTGAGGTGGCCCTGGGAAGCGCCCTTGGAGGGCACCCTGGGCCCTGGGAGACAGTTCTGTCCTTCCTGCCTCTGGGCACGTGATAGAAGGGTGGCCTTGCAGGCCTCGGAGCCGCTGGGAGTGCTGCTTTCCCATGGTGGTCCTGGAACAAAGCCCCAGTCCCTTTACCCGTGTCCATCTTTGCAGAAGGCAGCTGATCACCCACCCCAGCACTCTTTGTGCTCCCTGCCTGCCTGTGGGAGCTTTCTGCATCTTTCTGCTCATTCTCTTTGCTAGGAATGAACTGCAAGCAGCTCAAAGCACTCAACAGGACCCTTTCCATATACTGTCCAGAAATCCCCTGACAGACTCACTGGCCCATCACTGGGCCACGAAGGACCAAGTCTTCTGTGCTCATCTGGAGAATTCAGCTCAACAAAGAAACAAAACCACCACCGCATCCTTGGCTGGCCCCAGAGGTGGATTTGAAAACGAGTCCAATTCAAAAACAACACCAAAGTGACTATGAAGGACCAGGGGCCAGCAGTGTCGGCACCTCAGCTGCCTGGTCCACACCATGTCCCAGAGCCCGTCAGGCCTGTGCTGCTGGGGTGCAGACTCAGTGACTCTGACAATGTGCTGCTTCATCCGACTGCACTGTTTTCTTCCATTTACTATGAGGGAAAAATAAACCCTGGGCACCAGGCCTTGGTAGTCTTCCTGGACACAAGTTTTCACTCCGTGAGGCTCCATAGAAGAAAAATGGCTGCCCTTTGCTTGTGTCGCCTGTGCTGCAGGACAGGGAAGGATTCTGACCCTAGGGAGATATGAGCACTTCCCACAATTAACACAAGTCAAACAACCACACTGTCCAATCCAGAACTTGGGAGGCTGAGACAGGAGGATTGCAATATGTTTGAGGCCAGCCTGGACTGCATAGTGAATTCAAGGTCAGCCTGGACTATACAGTGAGACCCTGTCTCAAAACAAAGCAAAATAAAAAAACAAAAGCCAACCCAGAAATCTAAAATCTGAAAATTTTTGAGTGGTGATGTGACACTCAAAATTTCAGAGTACTTCAAATTTCAGATTTTGGGATTAGGGATCCTCAACTAGTAAAGTCTATGCAAATACTCCCCTAAGCCAAAAAACTCTGAGCTCTGAAATACCTCAGGTCCCAAGTGTTTCAGAGCAGGGACACAGATTCAGCCCAAGTAACACAAATGGTTTTGGGGCCACACGTCAAACAGCATACGGCACAAACCTACATGTTTCCAGAAATTTCTTAGACTAAATTCTCCAACAAAGTCTTACGTGAGGCAGAGAGGCAACCCTTGAGAGCCTGTGACTGGCAAATCTCAATATTTTATTAAAATAGCATATTTTTCCATGGTTAACCAAGAATATTTTAACTTTGTCCCTCCCACCCCCAAATATGCAGCACAACATAGTAGTGATTCAAATATCCTTGATCGTGGTGACCAATAGAAATATTTCAAAGTCAAGTTTGCAACTAAAAACTAGACCTTGGAAAAATTCTGAATTAAAAAAGAAACATAAAGCTCTCCAACGGAATTCTTTATCTGTCTGAAAACGAATGCTGCCCGTCTGACAATACTGCTGGTTTTTCTTCTTGATGTGTAGAATAACATCTCATTTATAAGTACCCACTTTTATAAATAAAATTGGCATTTTCATCCCATTTAATGTTCTTTTTCAGCTTCACAAAGAAACCAGAAAATAAAACTGTCAATGACAGTCATGACACAGGCTCTCACAGCAAAAAAAAAACCTTGAAAATACGCAAAGATGCACCTAGGCTATTTTACATAAAAAGATTCAAAAAGTGCAAGGCAGAGTCCGCAGTTTCTGAGGGAGCTTTTAGGCACATTCGTGTCTTTAAAGCAAGCTTCGGAACCAAATTCCAGTTTGTTCTTCATGACACCTGTTTTAAGTCTTTAACAAGAAACAAACAAAACTTGAGTCCGTGTCTTTAAGGGTGCCTAGGGCCGGCAGCCAGTGGGACTCAGCGGGCCCGGCGCATCCGGCCCTTCTTGATCCTGGCGGGCTTGGGCTTGGGGATGTACTGGTTGTTCGCCTGGTACTCCAGTTCTTTGCGGAAGTAGTGGATGGCTTTGTTTAGACCTTCCTCCAGCGGGACCTGGGGACAGAGAGCAGACGCAGTCACCTGGGCAGATGGGTGTGGCTGCAGGGGGAGATGACAGCAAGTGCTGGTTCGAGACCCTGGATCCTCTGGATCCATGAAACCTCACAACGCTCAGGAGAAGCCCCACCCACCCAGCCAAAGGACCAGAAACCACTTTCGGAATGCACGGTGCCTGGCATGATGCGAGCTCCAGCCTCCACGAGACCCTGCACTGTCTCAATCAGGAAGATCCCCGTAAAAATTGTCCTTTCAGAGGGAATGCGCTACTTGTTGAAGGGAGGACATTTCCAGAGGCCATAGCCCCAGACCCGCTGCATCTGCTGGACAGTCCACCACACTCCACATCCCCACTAGCCTAAGAGTGGCCCTTGACAATCCCCACAGCATGGAAAGCAGTTGTGCCCTGGAGCTGCTTTCAGCAGACAGCAAATGGGGGTCAACCAAACTGCTGATTCAAAGTATAAATAGAAGTGAAATCCTAGAAATTCTAGCACTGAGAGAGTCTGAGGCAGGAGGACTAGAAGTTCAAGTTCAGCCTCGGCAATCTAGCAACTTAGCAAGATTCTGACTCAAAATAAAAAATAGAAGAGGGCTGGGGATGTAGCTTAAAGGCCCTAGGTTCAATCCCCACACCTCATACACACACAAAAAAAGTATGAAGAGAACAGAGCACTGGCTGGGGCACAGCCAATGGGGGCAGGAGCTGCTGGATGGAAGGGTCTGTCTTGATCGTGGTGATGGCTGCACAGGTGTCAAACACATCCAAACCTGTCCACCTGTGCATTTCAGTGTGGGCAGTGTGCTGTGTGCTGGTCACACTCCTTAAGCTTGGATGACACCACAGGGAACAAAAGCAGGCAGACGGAGGATTTCAGCAAATCAGAGCTCTGCTCAGCCATGGGCACAGTCACACGGGAGGACAGGAGCTATGTACAGGGAGGGGGTGTTTACACATGGACACTGAGAAGGGGCAGCAGCTGAGCATGTGAGGAACTCAACAGCTTAGAAGCAGGAAAACCCAAACAATCCAGTTCAGAATGGGCCACGCAGTAAGAATGGCCATCTCACCTCAATAAGCTGCTGTACGCACACATGCACGACCAGGCACACACACAAGTTAGTGGAAGACGTCTACATCCTTGGCTCAGATGCCCTGCGCCCAAGACCCAGCCAGCACAGCTCAGCTAGCAGAGGCACTGAGGTTCCCATGAAGTGGATGTGGATGTGCTCCACATATCTGGCTTACAATTCAGGGTTGATCGACCAAGGGGCTGAAGCAAACCCTGCGTGCAGCATCCTACTTGCCCTGTGTCTGCTATGCAATGGGGCATCAGGTTCTGCTGAGCCAGGCACCCTCCATCTCACTTCAATCTGCACAATTCTCTGCCCTCGGCAGACCCTGGGCTCGGCCACTGTCATGAAGAGGGGTGCTAATCCACAACCCCAGGGTCCCACTCCACAACCCCAGGGTCCCTTGCTCAGGTCACTGTGATGTGCACTTTCGGGCTCAGGTGAGCTCTGGGTGTGTCCCTGCCCCTGACTGTATCCAACAGGGTGGCGGCAGTACCTATTGTCCTCGCTCAGGGTGCCCCATGTCCACCCAGCACACTCATTTCCACTCTGAGCATGAGGCCATACTCAGCCAGCATGGGGGACGAGGGGACACGGATGCAGCAGCGGATACCACGGTGGGTGGGCCTGTCCCGGCTCTGCAGGAAGGGAATGAGGGTGCTCAGAACCTGTAGGGGTCCTCCCCTATAGGAGGAGCAGGCAGCTGAAAGATAGGTCCACTCAGCTAGGGCACAGGAGGTGGGCAGTGGTCTCGCTCCCCTCCAGCTGGGGCTGCCTGGTCAGTGCCTCTGGCAGCCCTGGCCATCTCCTGGCAACAGGATAGGCACAGGGCACTGGAAAAGCACTTCAGGGCATGTAGCAAGCCATGTGCCTGCCTGGGCCTCCTGAGTAGGGCAGGGCTTGCGGGTCAGGACCCCCACTCACCACAGGCTCCCAACCCAGCATCAGCTTTGCCTTCTTGATATCTGGCTTCCTCTTCTGTGGGTCATCCTGGGCTTCGGAGAGAAACTGGATTTCACTCCCGCTACCTGAGTCGTTTTGAGTAACAAGACAGAAGGTGAGAGAGGATATGGACCACTTGACTGGGTTTTCCCACTGTACACAACAAACTCCCATCATGGCATGAACAAGACACAAGCCATGTCTACACAGCTCCATGATGTCAAGATGGGTGGGTGGGGTCAGCCTAGAGCCCAGTGACTGAGGCCACAGCACAGGACTTGAGCAGTCCTGACTCACTGGGGAGGGACAGACAGACCCCAGTCCAAAACCAGGGACCATATCTGGAGGGGCTGGCGCTGCAAGACACTGCCACTGCTATGGACCAGAAGACAGATGTGGCTTCTGCCATCCTGCAGAATGGGGCCAGCTGTGCTGAGTCGGTTAGAACTATGCTGGTCTGACATCCTGGGTCTGCATAGTCCCCGAAGGCCACCCCACCACCCAAGTCTAGCCCATCAGGCCGAGCTGGTGTGTCCTGAATGCAAACTCCCCATCAGTCCCACAGAAGAGGCCCCGTGTAAGGGAGAGCAGTGAGGACAGCAGGTCCCTGTGAACTCCTGGCTGTGTGTGGCTGGGCGGGGGCTGCCCCAAGGTCACACAGTGCCTATGTCTCAGCCTGGCCAAGCTACAAAGTGTTTCCACAGGCTGCTCTCTCCTGTTCTCTGAAATCCTAGTCTCACCAGGACCAGTGTTTGAAAATCAAATCAAGTGACTGTTGAGGCGCAGGGCCACCTGACACAGTCACTGTCAGATGCCAAGAACTCTTCCTCCCACGGCTCACAGGCCTGAGATGGGAAATGAACAAGAGAAAGCTCACCCATTTCTGTCTCTCTTAATTAAAGAATTAGAAAGCAATTAGTGCTCCTGGTGACAAGTCTGCTTTGACCCAAGGACATCTGCATACAGCAATTACCCACTTTCTGCCCACGGTGCTGTCAGTGGCCAGCTAAGCACAGACAGTTTGGTTCAACAAGTGTCTGCCCTACTTACCAACAAGGGTTTTGATCAACTGGGCAAATTCCAGGATTGTGTGTTCTTCTGGGTTCCCCTGCAGAAGACATGGTTTCTGGTTATAAGGGTAAGGACAGAGCAGCACCTCCACCCCAGCTGCATCCCAAGCAGAGCCCCTCTGCTGTTCCTGGGAACCAAGGGCAGCCACTCACCAGGTTGATGGGGCTGCTGACATTGCTGTTCATGAGTGCCACCAGCCCATTTACCAGGTCACTAGAAGAGAAGGGAGTGGTGAGGTGCCCCACTGCGAGGCTCCTGAGAGCCAGGCACCAGCCCTCCCAGAAGGAAGCTCACAGCCGTCCCCAAACAAAGCCCAAATGGAAAGCTGAATGGCAAAACAACATCCTGCAACTCAAGATGGCGCTGATGATGCTAAGGTGTTTATGGATGAAATGACACTGGTGACCTCTGGGATTTGTGTTTGGCCGGGGTGGTGACTGTGACACAGGATGGAGGATGGGCTGAGCTGCAACTCTGCACTGCTAAATGCTCAATCACAAACCAGAGATGGATTCGAAGAGGCACACACCCAGAGAGATGGGGCTCAGAAGCGTCCAATGGAAGCCCACGCTTGATGTACACCTGCATTTGCTGATCAGTATGGAAGCAGGTGATTATCTTAAAATGTAAGATCCACTGAGATGAATGGGGCCCAGTATGCGATCCTCATACTGGCAAATCACAGACGAGGCCGAACAATACAGGTGTTGGACTTAGTGGGACAAGGCTCCCTGCTCCCCAGCCATCACCTGCCGCCCAGAAAACCCAGATGGAGCTGTCGGGATCTGATGTGTCAGATGGGTCATGATCAGCTGGGCCACGAAGGTGAAGAGAAGTAAGCAAACTGTCGCTTACCAAGGTTTGGTTCTTAGTTTCAGAAGCTTTTAAGTGTGGCTCTGTTAAGAAAAAGTTACTTCGTAAAAATGACACCTCACTGCTGATCATAAGCATTTGCCCTGAGGCTCTCGCTCATCAGCTCTGCATCTCAGAGACTTAAATAAAGTTCTGTCCTGGTGACCCAATGCAGTCTGAGTGGAAACCTCCCTCTTCGTGCCCATCATTACCAGGGAGGAGCGGGTGACTAAGGCCATGGTGAACTAGACAAAAACCCCGGGTCACATGTTACTCAGCTTTTGGAGGGTAGGGTGAACAAGTCATTTCTACTTTTTCATTTTCAACATATGGGTACTATATATGGACATGCTCAGTGTGCTATTCTCACAGGTCAAGTGCAAATGCCAATTGCCGCTGATCTTGGATGAGCTCTGCAAAAAAGTCACTTCATCGCCATGGCAGTGCACGTTCCAACGCACAGCGTTCTCTTAGGGCTTTGGCTGCGTACGGCCGTAGACTTTAAAAGCTGCCGTTCAGTAGTGTTCACAACAGGTTGCACCCTGAAGCCGAGGTGTGGAGCACATTAAGTCGGGAGACAGCTGCCCCAGAGCCGTCATCATCGGAGGGCTGGGAGGCCATGCATCTCTTACACAACAAGCTGGCAACTTTTAAGGTCAGAATTGTAGAGATCACACTTGTTGAACCTGAGGCTCTTTAAAAGTGTCATTTTGACAAAGTGACTTTTTAAAAGAATACAGCATGCATTTGTTATGTGGATGAGGACACACTCTGATGTGGAAATCTGACAGTCATGCCAAGATGTCAATGGGGATGGCCACAGAGGGCTCTGGGTCCCTGCCTGCTGTCTCGGCTTTGGGAACAGTTAATTTAGTGTCGAAACTACCATCCAGATGTTATGCATTTTTACTGACATAAATGATTCTTGGTTCCTAAAACAGCAGCTTGTTAAAAACAGCAAAACTGTGGTCAGTTAATGATCTCAGCTGGGGCCTGAATAACTGGCCCACAACATGGTACACTTCTGAAGGTTCGTTGCCTCCCCTGGACCCACTCATGAGAGGTTGCAGGCAGGTCACAGAGAGAGGGATTTCCACAGGGGTTCACACCTGTGCTTCTCGGGGCACTACTTAGGCCCTCTGTCCTATGTCTGTGGCCTGGGAGACAGTGTGGATGTGACAGCAGCCAGGGTACGAGCCTCACTGTTAGGGTAGCCTGGCTTGTGGTACGTTTAGTCTGGAGCTGGGACAGTACACAGCATGGGCACCAATGAGTTCTTACGATACTCATTACCCTAGGTTCCACAAAAGTTAACTGAGGCTACATTAAGTGACTTTTGGATGTGGAGCCTTTGAAATAATGTGAGCAGCAAGAGGAAGGTGTAGTCACTGCTCTCCCTCAAAGCCTCACATTCTGTGAATGGGGGCAGGGGCCCAGCAGTTGCCATTGAGACCCTGAGAAGGAGTCCTCCTGGGGCTGAGAGAGCACAGATGGGCTGTGTCACTGTGGGAAGATGGATGCAGCCCCACTGCAGACTGGGCCTGAGGGAGCTCTTCGAGCTGCAGTCCCAGCTCAGTCCCCAGGAAGAGGCTGCCGCAGGTCCCTGGAAGCTGCTGTTGAGGACAGGTTTGCCTGTTCAAGCAACATGTGGGCCTGTGGTACTTCATTTACAGGCTTATTGGCTTATTCCCAAAGTTACTAATGGGTGGAGGGAAAAAAATACTGACTGTGATATACATTCACTCACAGCTGTCTTTTGGAACAAATGTGAAAAATTGTAACTGTTTTCAGGAAAAATCTATAGTGGTGGTGTTAATTTTTAAATACAATTTTCCAGGGCCGGGGATTTAGCTCAGTGATTTCGCCACCTGCTGCGTAAGTGCAAGAACCCGAGTTCAATACCCAGTACCAAAAAAATAATAATAATAATAAAATAAATAAATAAATACAATTTTCCAGTGTTCTCAAAATGTCTACCCAGGCCCTGACCTATGGGACAAGGTCCATGGAGTAGTTCTGATGGAGATGGGGCTGTCCCCCCAGCACCATGGGGTGGCTCTCAGATACCACAAACATTTCTTAATGGATAGGCATTTGGGGGTATTTGCATTAAAGAGCAAAAATACACAGGGTCAAACGACAGAACTGGGTCTACCACTGCTTTACCCATCCAGAAACTTACATTCTACACCAGCGGTGCTGCGGTTGCCAGGACTTTGCTACCTAACAACTTACACTGTGACTCTTCTCAGAATCCATCCTGCACTCTATGTTAATCGCTCACTGCACAGACCAACAAAAGCCAGGCTCATAATCAGCCAAGAAAACAGTCAAATCGCCATGTGAAACTATTCTACAGAGCCTATTTCTCTGCATTTAGTTCCAGCCCCAAACTCAACATTAGTACACAACCTTATTTTGTTCCTTCCCTGGTCTTGCTGACTCAACCCAGAAAACCACGCTTAAAAGAGTCGGACTTGGGTCTGTTGGGGGATGAAGGCGTCCCTTCACGCAATATCCCGTCACCCCAGGCGCCAGGCAACTCCACCCGCCCAACACTAGGTGGCAGCACAGGACAGCTCAGGCGCCAGAAGTGATGGGAATGAAATCTCATTTTAACTTTTCAACAGAGAATAGCAGGAGCTTCTCATCATAATGTTAACGCCAAAAGAGATAACGCACACAGATGCTGAGCTGTACCCCGAGGTCCCACTCCAGCCAGGGCATGGCCAGCCTTACCTGACATACTGGAATGCCCTTGTCTGTGAGCCAGACCCGTACACCTGGAAGAAAAGCAACAGTGAGGCTTGGAGACACCACGCCAGCCAGGGAATGGCCTGGGGAACCCCAGGGGGTGATCTGAAAACAGAACCCTGGGAGGACAGGGAAGAGGCTGGGATGCACACTGCACTTCAAGGTCATGCCCAGCAGTGAGAAGGTTCCTCCAGAGGCAGCAGCAGAGGAATCTGCCTCCCAGTGTGCTGGGCACTGCCTGGGGTTCTGGGGACTGTGACAAGAGGCTGGCTGGATGACACCCCCCCACACACACACGCAGGGTCAAGCATGCTGTGGGGCTCTCCACCTGCTGTCCATCAGGACACGGGGCTGTACCTTCCACAGCTAAGGGCCAAGTGACCCAGATGGGGTGGGGACCAGGGGAGCACCTCCGGGAGCCCAGGTGGGGATGGGGTGCAGGCTGGCAAATGCCTTAGTAATCCCCTTTCCTGCCCTCAAAAGCCAGGGCCCGCAGGTAGAGGCCTATGGAGCTGGGGCAGTGAGGAGGCTGCCAGCCACCTCTCTGTGCTTCTAAGTCTGGGCCTCACAGCAGTGCCCCAGCAGCCTCCTAAAATGATCAGAGCCCAAGTGCCACCCGGGTCTTGCTTAACTGAAGCAGGTGAAACCAGGGGTCATGACTTTTAAGCTCCTAAAATGACCCCAGTGTGCAGCCAAGGCTCAGAGTCGGGCACACCTGGGACCTGGAGGGCTGATGGGAACATGGTCCGCTGGACCCCAGCCTGGAGCGCACCTTTCTACAGCTTGGTAGGTGCCACTTGCACTGCTAGTGCCAGGGCCCCACTCTGAGGATCACTGGTCTAAACCAACAACTGTGTGGAGGATTTCAAAGCTCACTAAAATTCCATCGTAACAGAGATGTGCCTAAACTGTTATGGAGGCGATTTCTGTGTCCTGATTTTTATTCACTAAACAAGGAATACTAGAAAAAAGAAAACCGGAAATGGAACACACGTGGCCTTCACCCACCAGGGGTGCCAGTTTGGCCACGGAATTCAGGTAATGCGTCCACCTTTGGTCTTCAGTCACCTCCCCAGAAGGCAAAGGTAAGGTCCTCCGAGGCCACAGATCTACAGTGGCATGAACTGAGTTAACAGACTGAATGACCATGGAACAGAATGGCAAGCTAAAGTGCAAATCGTCTAACTGGGTGACAGACAGACACACAGGCAGATAAGGATATTGCAGTGGCCCAGTGGCATGTGTTCACCTGCTGGGACCCCATCTAAGCTGAGGAGCTTCTCACTAAAATAGGCTCAGTCAGCAAGCAAAGCATCCTGCAGGGTTCCCAGAGGAAGAGATGCTGATCTCCTCTGGATCCCACCAAAGTCCAAACAGAAAGGACCCTAGGAGGTTACAGACTGCAGGAGCAAAGCTGCTGAGGCAGACAATGAGGATGGGACTGGCGGTCCAGAGGAGGAGTAAGACACAGAGAGGAGAACATGAGGGGTCTGCAGCATGGAGATACCCAGCCAGACTTCTGAGCGGGGTGGGGACAGAGCCTGGTGAGGAGTGGGCAGTGCCTGCCCCAGTGAGATCTGGGCCAGCAGAGCACAGATACCGTGCACATCAACCTGCTGACTCCAGCCATAGCAGCTCCCGGGAGGAAGGGGCTGGGCGCCGGTCCGGAAGCTGAGGGAAGGGTCTGGACTCACCTGAGCCCAGCTTACCTCCTCACCAGATGTCACATTTCTCAGCCACCTGAGGGTCCCCGAGCCAACAGGCCAAGGAAGCCATGGGGGACAGCTCGGGGTCGGGGGAGGAGTATCTATGCAGGCAATCAGCACAGAAGTTACAGAGCAGGCACTGCTGTGCTCCACTGGGCTCTGTCCCCACGCCTGTCTTCCTCCCTCTACTCTGACAAGGCAGGCGGGGTGATTGTATGACCCCAAGTGAGCTCAGGCTCAGACACCCTTCCTACTTGCAGGAGATCCCAATCTGGGCTGCAGGGGGCCCCGGCCCACAATGGCACCCACCGTAAGGGGCTCGCCCTGGAGCGCCTGTAGGATGAAGTTGCTGACCACCCGCCCGTCGTTCATGTGCATGCGTGGACCAAAGGTGTTGAAGATCCTGGCTACACGCACCTCCACACCCTCCTGCAACAGAGAGAAGAGGTGGTGAGGTATGGGGGGCGGGGGTGCGGGGCTGCATGTGGGGCAGGAGACTGTGGGAGGGATGGGGGCTGCTGCTGTTCTTGGGCTGTATCTGGAGTGCCCTGCATGGGAAGCGTGACAGAAGGGTTTGCCTTTCACTCCAGAAAGAAAATGGCTTTGTGTTCTGATTCTATCACATGCTTATGAGAACCCCCCAGGCAACTGCAGAGCCCTAGCAAAGAAAGTCAGACTCCTCCCAACAGCAGCACAGCAGCACGGAGACCACTCCCCCAGCTCTGTGGCAGAGAAGCTGTAAAACAGTGGCTGTGCTGGGGAAACTTGTTTCTATCAATTTCTCTGCAATAAATATCCACTTTCCCAAGTGGCCTCATGCTCTGAATCCTCTTACAGAACCTCTTTCACAGGATCTATCCTGCAAGTTTATCAACTGGGATTTAAATGTCAATGAATGTTTGAAGCTGGTAAGGAGAAAATGAGTGCTTCACCTGAGATTGGGGGAGCCAGACATTCCTGAGACTCCTCCCACCCTCAGCCCCCTCTGCCCTATCTGAAAACCAATGGGTTTTAGTAAAACTTGGCACAACTCGGCACCCAACAGGGCCGACAGTGGTGGGTGCAGAAACAGCCTAACATGGGCACACGGTCAGGTCTATTGCTCTGTTTCTGCCAGCTATTTCTTTTCATCATCTCTGTTTTTACTACAATAAACCTATTACATTTGTAATCCAGAGAAGCATATTTTCAAATATGTCACCAGGAACGTATACATTTTAAATGACAAAACCCTCCCCAAACGATCTCGCTGAACTATGAATATCAGGACCTCTCTGCCATGGATCAGAAGCTCAATGTGTTCACCTCAAACTTGGGAGTCAGGGGTGCTCACTGTACGTGCTGCTAACATCACAGGGTCACGCATGTCCCGGGAATCTGGGGACAGGCACCACCAGGGTTGCCTCTCCCTGCTGCACACACCTTCTGCCTCCCTGTCCTCTTACCAGGCTGTCCCCACCCCCTCTGTCACAGCGACACTGGAGGAGGGTCCTGGAGGACTGAAGGTGGATCCCTGCACTCTTGCACAGGCTCAGCAGTGACAGAACAAGTATCAGTCGCTGTGGTGACCACTGCCAGTCAAAACACTCCTCTGCCTTCTGTGTCTGGCTCAGGCCGGAGTCAAATAGCCAGCACACCCCTAGCTAGCACACCCTCAGCTAGCTAGGCTCTTCCAGCACAGCCTTTCTCCACCTGTAGCAGATGAGCTGCAGGGTCCCCAGGGCCCCGTGAGCCCTTGACGTGGCTCCCACAGCCCCATCTCTTCCCCAGGTGCTGCATCCACAGGGCAGCTTCCATGGGTGCTGTGACATGAGCAGGATTGAGCCCAGAGTCAGCTTCCAGGCCCGAGCATCTATCTGTGTGAATGGCGTCATGACTCACGAGAACGCCTCATGGAACTGTCCATGCTCCGAGGACCAAGATCCGAGTTCACTCTCAGGCAGGCAGGAATAAACTACTCTCTCTCTACTGAGCTAAGCAGGGTTCACAGTGATCCCCCTTTCCATGCTTGTGCTTTCCACAGTTTGGGTTATCTATGGTCCAAAAATATTAAAGGAAAAATTCTGGAAATAAACAACTGGAAGTTTGTCAGCCCTTCTGAGTAGATTGGTGAAATCTCCCGCCATCTCCTACGCCCATCTGGGTCGAGAATCATTCCTTGGTCTGGAGCATCCTTGCTGTACGAGCCACCTGCTCACCAGTCTGAGGAACTGTCTTTGTTGCCACACTGCCAGTCAGGGTACTGCGGTGCTGTGGTCCAGTATCCCTTATTTAGCTTAAGAATGTCCCCAGGGCCCACTCCAGATATGCCAAAAAGAAGCCATGAAGTGTTTCCTGTAAGCAGAAAGGTGAAAATTCTAGACTTATTGAAAGAAAATAAAAACCCATGCTGAGTCTGGTAAGGTTCAAAGCAAGAACACATCCACCTGTGAAGAAAGAAAGAGAACTGTGTGCTGGTTTTGCTGTCACAGCACCTCCAGCTGCAAAAGGTGTGATCACAGTGCAAGATGAGTGCTCCATGCAGGGGACTGAGAGTGACGGGGGGCACACGCCAGTCCCACATGCACACAGTGTCTCCCACAGACGGGACAGATGACTGAGCAGGAGGGTTGGGAGGGTGGAGCAGAGACGCTACTTTCAATCTGCATTCAGCTGCTGAGAGGAAAGAACCAGAAGGGGAGAAACTGGCTTTACTGCAGGAAGACAGAAGAAACCCTGGCGAGTCCATTGTGCTTGAGCCAGGGCCTGCCCTGGCTGAGCTGCAAGGGGTCACACTCTCTTATCCTCTAGATCTCTACTGTCCGTGGGAAGCAGATTCCAGAGAGTGACCTCGGCAAAGCCGGGCAGCACTTTGGACATTATCAGGCCAACACATGGGCCAGTACTGGCTCTAGTGTCCCATGTGGACTTGCGATGGTGAGTGGAGCCAGACATAGGACAGCATGGACACGAGTTCTGGGATGACCTGCGGAGCCCCAGGGTCAAGTGATTCCCCAGCCCCAGCTGTGCCCTGCCCACAGCAGCTTCATCCTCCTCCAGGCTGCCAGAACCACTGGCAGGTTCCGTGAACTCAGGGTGTGTGCCAGGTCTACACAGACATGCTCAGCAATGTCTCAGGACCCAAGGCACAGATGAAGGATAATTACTCCTCCCTCCAAAGCAGTGAGGGCACCAACCAGCTGCCCCCATGGACAGCCACAGAGCACCTGCTGACCTCCACACCCTACTGGGAGGGTGGGGGACAAGGGTTCAGTGGGCTGTGGCTTTGTGGTGAGCACAGGTGATGCCACCCAGAAAGACACGGATGGACATACAGACTGAGGGCTGTAGCATCCAAAGGAGCATGTGTGTCCCTGGAGTGGGCCTTGGAAAGATTGCCCTTGCCGTGTGGAGACACCCTCTGACCTGGTTCCTGTTGGGACGCCCAGGAACAGGGTGCAGCTGCCCACACAGTTCTAACAGATGTACCCCTCCCTGACCTAAGCAGTGGCCTCATGCCTCAGAACCCGAGGCAGCATGCAGAAGTGACACGCCCACTGGCCACCCTCCTGCTGCAGCATGGGACCCGCATGGACTCAGATGTGTCCAGATGCTTTGAACAGGCCTGGCACAGGCAGTACTTGGTGATAAGTGCTGGGCCCATTGCTTGTGAGTACACACTTAAGGTGATATGCATACCCACAAAGTTATCAGCTAACTGCACTATTTATCATTTAATAAAAGGAAAAAATTAAAAATCATCCCTCATGTGCCCACCAGCTTACTTATGTAAAGATTCACAACGTCAGAAATGCAAGCACAAGACCAGAAGCAAACAGGAACAAGGGAGGGATGCACTACTCCTGATGCTTTCACATACACCACACCCGCACCTCTGCCCATGCCCTTGCCCCAGCCAGCCCCGCACGCATGCAGAGCTGGTCCTGCATGTCCCAGAGGACACCATAACTTCTGGGACAAGGTATTCTGGGCTTGAAAACAATAGAGCTGCATCCTTTCTAAGAATGTATGGAGAACGGGTGTCTACACATGGCCCAAGGTAGGTTAAGAAGGAAAACTCTGGCAGTGAGGCCCACATCAACACCAGCACCACTGAGCATCCACAGCCTTTCCTGAGAGTATGTTGGACACGCCTCCCCCCAAGAATAGGCAGTGTGCAGCTCAGCTCAACTCAGATGGCGGTGGCATGGACGTGCTGACATCAGGGGCCAGGGATGTGGGCTCTGCACAGGCCGTAGACAGATGTCCAGAAGTACCCTTGAGTGCTGGGCACCCAGATGCGACAACCTCATGCCCACCTTGCTGGCAGGCTGGCCCAGGGCGACAGACCACAGCTGCAATATGTCTGTGCTATGCCCACACCCTTCTCCCTATGTGTCCCACTGTGACAGAGGGCATTTCCCAGAGCTCTGGATGCTGCCCCATGCAACAGCCACACGGGGAGGACGACTCATGGCTGGTACCCGCCTCAGCCTGCAGGGCCTCTGCGGCTCCTCACTGCTGCGCGGCCTGAGGACAGAATCTCGGGACAGCAGGTCCTGTCTCCAGGTCACATGTCAGGTGGCAGAGCCAGTGTGGGGACCAGGGCTTCTAGGTCTGCGGTCAGCTCCGCTGTAACCCACCAGGGAGGGGAATAGCCACACAGTGGCACCAGCCAAGGAGGAAGGGTGAGGAGGGTGGGAAATGGGGAGTAAATCAGTATGAGTTCCCGATGAAGCTAAATTCATGCACCACTGAACTCATTTTTGTTTCTTTTGGTACCAGGGATCGAACTAGGGTCCTTGTGCTTGCGCAGCAGGCGGCGAAACCACTGAGCTACATCCCCGTCCCTGAACTCATTTTTATATTTAACAGGCCACCGAAAAGTAAAAAACCCCAATGATTTCACAGCTTCAGGAGACCAGGCCCTTATTAGGGGTAGGGACAAATGACAATGAGGAAGCGACCGTTCATAGTGCCTATGTGCTGGTGGAGCCCCAACCTCGGAACCCACCTCCAGAAAACCCTGTCAACACAGGGATACTGACACATGGGAAAGCTGTCCACAACACCATCCCTCTGTTGCACTGGGCAAAGGCTCCTCTGACCCCCACCTCACCCAGGTAACCATGGCCTGGCTCCAGCTGGGCAGTGCCTCGCCCACCCGCACGCACCTGCTTCATGTAGGCGTAGCACATGGTCTCCGCCACCCGCTTGCCCTCGTCGTAGCAGGCTCGGGGCCCGATGGGGTTTACATGGCCCCAGTAGTCCTCGCTTTGTGGATGGACCTCGGGATCTGTGGGCAAGGGAGGAAGTCTGGGTTTTCATCTTTCGTTGCTTTTCCAGCTCACACGCACAAGGGACTAGGAACAATGCATCTTCATGAGACAAAGCAGAACTCTGGACCCAAGCAAACATTTACACAGGGAGAGAAATGTCCAGGAGGGGGAAGCAGGGTCTGGGCTCTCTCTTGACACTCTCGAGGGATACAGTGTTCCCAGCATGAATTAGGTAACAGCATTTTACAAGAAGACAGTAAAAGGTCAACGTCTCTCAATTTTAAGTCTTCCTCTCTTTTACAAATTGTTCTTAATTTCTTTACATAAACTATCTACGTGAAGAGGTAGCTGGTCTAGAAATACAAAATAAAGAGTAAAACCCATATTTGTGGAACAATTTTAAGGACACAGGATCTCCCTGGAACACATGACTTCCCATGAGCTGTCACAGAACAGGTCTGAGACCCAGGCAGGTCGACTCGAAGGTCCAGGCAGGGTGGGCAGCAGTACGCAGTGACCACCAAACGCTTCCCTAAGTGCACATCAGTCATGCTTTCAGATCTGCCAGGGCATAGCCTGCTAAAGAAGCCAAGTAACAAAATCTTTCTTAACGCAAAGTGTATTTCTGAATGTGACTCAACACCTAGTTTATCTAGAACATCAAGAACTGGATACCTACTCTGAGTACAAGCATGTTAGGAAAAAAATGCATAAACTTTTGACTAGAAATCTGGAAAAAGATACTGGGCCACTCCTTTAGGGTCTTGTCTTGATGACCTTGCACCTGAAGCCTGACTTCAGGCTCACTGCTCTTGGAGATGAGGGCTTGGGCAGCCCTGAGATGGATGTCACAGAGAGCCGGTGAGCCTTCAGGACCCTGCAGATCGAGGCTGCTGTCCTTTGGCACAGCACAAGAGGCAGTTTTTACCACACGATGAGAGGAAAGGGCAGAGGCTGACTCCCTGTGAAGAAAGCCCATGGCTTTCCACAGAGATGTAGCGTCTGCTCGATAGCTCTCTGACAGGGGCTGGCAAGCCAGATCCTGGGCAAGACAGACCTAAATTCCTGGCAAAGATGAACAAAGGGTCCACTGGGCACCCATTCAGCCTTCGACTGGCACCAGCTAGGCTGGCAGGCCCAGGGCGCCAAGCTTCTAAAAAGATCTCTCACAAAACCACTCTGGAGAAATGCAGGGAAAATTACTTGTGTCCTGCAAATGTAAAGGTCCAGTCAGAAATGATTTCCAGTTGTCTCTGCCCTCGCCAGCATTCTGTAAGGTTAACAGACTAAGCTAATGCTCCCAAAGCAAGAATGTGCATTCATCAAATGTCAAAGCAACTCTGCCCTGGAATTACTAAAAAACCCGTGAAAACACCAGCTCCCAACAAATATGCAGATAATAAGTGGGCCTGAGGGAGACAAAGGGGAAGATGTCACCATGTCCTGTACAAAAGAGGGGCGTGTATGCTTCCCAGGACCCCAGAGAGGAGGATGTGCTGCCTCTTCACAAGCATCATAAAGGATGTAACTGCATTTTCTGGAATCTCCATGTTGCTTTATTTTTTCATTTGGTTCTCTTAAAAAAAAAACAAACCTGTCTTTCACTTTTACCCTTTTACTTCCTTATTTTTCTTGTCCAGAACAATAATGTGAAATAGAAAAACATCGTGTTGGAATCTGGCTCCCACCACAGCAACCAAGCAGCTCTCCCGAGCTCCCACCCAGCCAGCTGGGGCTGCAGGGAACCGGCACGGCCTGGAGAAACAGCCCTCGGCCCCAGTCTTAGTTTCCCCAGCACCAGGTGGGCCTTGGTCAGGAGGACGGAGGATGCACCCTGGGGAGATAGTCTCCAGCCATGCGAGATTCTTTCAGAGACCCAGAAGGTGAGCACACATCCAGCACCAGCCAGCTCTGAAGGCAGCACACAGCCTGCACCCAGGAAGGTGGAATGTGTGTCAGGAGACAGGCGAAGACATCCCAGTGAACGGAGACCCCAGTTCTACAGAGCTGCCGGGGTGGGTTCTTACAGCCAGGCGACACAGTTCCCTGCTCAGAGGTCTATAATGAGGGTGAGGCTGTCCCTGGGGGAGGAGTCCAGTGTCCACAGGCAAGGACAGGAGTCTTCCGGGCTATCATGCCTAGAGGGCATGTGCAGCTGGGGCTTCTCAGAGTGGATACCGGACTCCAAGTCTTTCCACCCCGAGGACAGGATGCAAGGAGCCCATGGGTCAGAGGGCACATGGGGCCCCCAGCACTCACCTCCATACACCTCGGATGTGGAGGCCAGGAGCAGACGGGCACCCACGCGCTTTGCCAGCCCTGTAGAAAAGAGATACACAGTCAGAGACATTGTCAGTGCCGGTGCTCTGGCTGTGGCCAAGGTAAGCACTGCTCTAAGGTCAGAGGGGTCTGATTACCATCCCTTACCCACTCCTGCAGGGATTGCTCTGGAGCAAAACAGAAGCAAGGGTGACAAGAAAAACATGAATGGACCCTCAGAGGGCGCCACTCTGTGCACTCAAGAGTCCTGCACAGACCAGAAGCAGAACCTGCTGGTTTGTGAGGTGTGATTTAAAACACTTAAGAGTCTCCCATCCCCAAAATCTGCCCTGTATTTTCTGACCTCATTCCAGCAGGCAGAAGGCACACGTGACCCCTTCACACTCAAATCTCAAAAAGGGGCCCTGTGCTTCCTCTTCTGTGCCAGGACCCCACCCCTGCCAGCCTGTTCTGGCAGCTAATGACAGCTGCTCTCAGCTGGGAACCCCAAGGCCCACATGGGCTCTTCTCATTCTGGCCCTGTCCTCACCAAAGTGCCCTCACACTATACCGGCTTCTCTCAGAACTGCCCCTTCCTGCTCTGTCACTGATGCTGCCACCTACACAGCACCCCACAGATGCCAGGGTCCAGCAGAAGATCCAAGTAGAATCCTATCTGATCCCACCTCAGTGGACAGCAGAGTGCCCAGGCCAGCGGTTCTTTCCCTAATGACACAAACAAGCGACATGTGCAAAGCTGGCTTTTCGAGGGGACGCAGGGCAGGGCTGGGACCCTGTGATGGCAAGAATAGAGCAGAGCCTCCACCACACCACACCACCCCTGAGAGGGGCAGGAGCACCCTGCCCTGCTGGCGATGGCAGCAGAGAACCAACTCTTTCTTCATCAGAAGGGTGGACCGTCCAACTCCAGGTACAACTCCACCCTATGATGGCTAATGTCATGCCTGGGTGTCTCGGCAAACACTTTCTGTGAGTGTCTGTGACAGCATTTCCAGAAGAGATCAGTATTTGGATCTAGGAGATTACATGAGACAGAGGTCCTCCCCCAACGGAGGGGCCTCATCAATCCCATAAAGTCCTAACAGAGAAAGAGCAGAGGAAGGGAGTTGCTTGGGACAAGTATCACCTGCCCTGGGCTGTCTGGATCTCAAGCCTCTCCTGGTCTCCATCCTGAGATGGTGGACAGCGGGACCTCTCCGTGTGGCAATATGTCATCATAAACTCTCTCTGCACATCTAGTCACAGCCATCGGTCCCTTTCCTCTCCAGAGCCTGACACAGCTCTCTAAACTGTCTAGTCTAAGAGGCTTAATAGCCAGTCTCCAGCTGCCTTTCAGACCCTCATCCCCATGCTTTGCCAAAGCTAGTGTTTAGGTCTGTCTTTCCCAAATCCATTTACAGTACCCGTTTCAAATGTTCCTGTAATTAAACCCACTTTTCACCTGACAGTTAAAGAAGCAGTTCCTTTCACTTCAAAAATGATCAAGACATCTAAAGAACAAGCCACCAAACTAAGCATGTCTCTAATTTTACACATTGACATGTGAGTAGTGACCAACGCTGTCATCTGAGGCTCAAGTTTGGGGACATGAGGACAGCCACTGTACCACCTCACTCTTCCATCTACTTTTTTTTTGGTACCAGGGATCGAACTCAGGTCCTTGTGCTTGCGCAGCAGGCGGCAAAACCACTGAGCTAAATCCCTGGCCCTCCAACTACTTTTAATGTACATTCTAAAGCCACCTAGGGCAGGAACTCAGCTTGCAGAACCCGCAGCTTCTTTGCCAGGCCTTCCTGGAACACAGCTAGGTCACTCATGTGCAAGGCCATGTCAACCCAATGTCCCAGCTGCAGTCCCAGGACTCTGCCCAGCATGGGGCATTGGTCTTGGGCACAGGACAACTGGCCTTGAGGGACAGGAGGAGGGATGCTGGGTGGCCAGTCACAGGGGATGTACACTGAGGTGCTGTCTGCAGTCCTAGGGATGCACCTCCTCTTGGACAAGGGGACTGCTGTGTCTGAAGCGTTCCCAGAAGGAGCCATGAAGGGAGAAGGACAACGTACCCAGCATGTTCAGTGTCCCGATGGTGTTGGTCTTCAGCGTCTTGATGGGGTTGTACATGTAGTTGGGAGGGGAGGCTGGAGATGCCAGGTGGTAGATCTGGTCAACTATGGGAGAAAGAGGCACATTCACCCCAGGGAAACCCCGAAAGGACTCCCAGGGTTATGCTGTAAAAGAAAGGTGTTGGTGGATCTTTCACTGGCATTCTAGTTTTCTACCTGTCATCAGTCAGAGAAAGTCATTTATATTTGCAGTTGGGAGATCTTTACCCACTGGGACGTCTGACTATCTGAAAGATGGTGCAGGGCCCTGTGCTGTACTCAGAGAGGCCCTGATGATGGAGTCACTTGCTGTCCAGGCATCTGTCTTAGGCGAAGCAGAAGGAAGACTTCAGGGGCAGAATTAAGCATATTTAGGTAAATGTTTTTGTTTTCAGCCTGTGAGGCAAAGCTGACATTAGAAGCGAGACATGGAGGTGCAGGAGTAAGAGCTTCGATTTTGTTTCTACACATCCCACATAGGAAGAAGCTCACCCGAGAGGATGGTTGAGAAGGGTGGTGTCAAATCTGCAAATGGCAAAAACCTGCAGATTCCACCCAAGCCCTGGAGTCCAGGTGCTTAGCTTAACACAAACACCCTCACCCTCTGCTGCCCAGGCCAGTGCCCCTTGCACACAGCATGGGCCATGGGCTCAGCTTCTCCCTGGGAAATGACAGTGATGGCAAACAGGTGAAGGATGCCATCTTTCCACATTAGCTTCAGGTGACAGGAAACATGCCCAGCACTGGGATCAGAAGGTGCGCAGTCCAGGTGAGAGCCCTGCTGGAGCCCCCGCCTCAGCCCACCCATCTGTGTTCTACAATGGGCACAGGGGTGTATGTAGCTTGTCCCTGGAGGTCACATGCTAGAGGGCAGACTCCGTGGGGCAGTGCCAAGAGGTGGGTATTGTGGAGGTCATTCAGTCCCTGGGGGCTCCACCCTCCGAAGGGGCAGATGCTGACTCTTAGGGAAACCCTGTGACGCTCCCTATCCCCACAGGTTATGCTGCTTGACACACAGCCAACAGTGAAAAGTGAACGAAATTCTATTATGTGCACTGTAAGTGGGTACAACGGTTTTACTCTGTTCTCACAGCCCTGTCATCCTGAGACTGCTCTGTCTGGCAGCTCACAGAGCAGGCCAGCAGGAGCCAGGGAGCTGCAGGCTGGACCTGGCATGCTCCCACAGGATCACTGGCCCAGCCTGCAGCTTCAAGAAGTGTGGCCTGGTGGAGGTTGCGAGTTACCTGAGCACATGCCCTTGAAGGGGTGAGGGACACCACCTCTCCCTGGCCCCTCTTTTCCAGGAGGTGAGCAGCTTTCTCCTCCACATGCTCCTCATCACCATGACCCCAAAGCAACAGGGCCAATGAGCCAAGGACTGGAGCCTCTCTAACTGCGAGCTGCATTGACCGCTCTTCCCAGTCGAGCATCTCTAGACCTGGTCAGTCGATGAAAGCTGATGCCAGGACCATTCCGCACATCTGCTGAGGTAGGAACAGCAGCCGTCGGCCAGTGTCCCCAAACCACTGCTGCACACAGCGAGTTGGGCCAGAACAAGATTCAGTCCTTTCACACAGGCTCCAAGCGGAGTGGAACACAGCACACAGGTGCATGGAGCCTGGCATCTCTGCTGTCCCTCACAGCCACTGAGATCCTTGAGGATAGTGTACACCAAGGTGTGTGGGCTGTAATCTTGCAGAACCAATCAGTCTTCACCCTGGCCCCATGAGGACGACTTCTGCAGGGGCAGGGGTAGAAGCTGGCCTTAGAGACTTTGAGGGGAGCATCTGCACAGCGTGGGGTGCTGCCCTGTGCCAGGCAGAAACACCACTGGATCCTCCCCAACTCATCCAGATGCAACTGAGGCCAGTGTGGGAGCCTCCTGGACAGACACAGCCCCTCTTCCTGCCGGTCACCTACAGGCCTGGCTCGCCACGACACCTGGCTGCCTGCCAAGTGACTGGCACATACCTCTCTCCCCACCACATACAGTGTGCCCTCTTCCTCCCTCTCTCACAGCCATAGGCTTGGCAGTGGGCAGGGCTGGGCCCTTGAAGACCCAGGAGCATACAAAACAGGGTCCTGAGCCTGCAGGGACCAGGGTCTTTCCTTAGTGGCCTGGGAGACCTCGGTCGAAGATACTCGTACTCCAGGCACCCTGAAACGGTCCTCTGGGGTAACAAGTGGAACCCCCCAAAGGCAACTCCATCTGGCTTGTTTCCTCAGGATCAACAGTTCCCTGCTATTCCTAGGCTGCTGAGGGACACCCATAGAACGGCCAGGACCTCTCCTGGGCCAGCACCCCATGTCCTCTGCAGCCCCTCCTCCCGGGGACTCACAACACCTTCCTTCCTAAAAAGGACACCGTGCAGTCTGGTGATTTCACCAGTCTGGATGGAATTATGAAGTGGAGAGAAGTGAAACTTCAGCACAGCAGTAAACAACCAGGACCGAGCTGGCACTTGAATACCCAGAGACATTAAGAACACCCAGCCCTGGAATGCAAACAGCAGAGAAGTAATCACCAGTGCAGTCAGGGAAAAGCCCTGGAACATGACCTGCAGCTCAGAGTGCACCCAGCCTGGGCATGATGTTCAGAAGTCTGAGTTGGAGTGGACAGCAGCAGTGGAGGGGGAAGATGTGCCTACTCATTTGCTGGGCAGAAGCGCCCTAGAGGCTGACCTCCTGCCAAGTGACCTGGCTGCGACTCACACACTCAAGGCAGGAGCAGTGCTCTCAGCTGAAACACAGGAGCCCAGGGAATGAGCCTCAGAGAGCCCCAGTGCTGACACCCGGGTCCTCCAAGGGTGTGGGGACAAGGTAGACACAGAGGATGGCTGAGGTGACAGGGAAACCAGAAACAGGCTCCCCACTGATGAGTCTACAGCGCCTGAAAGCCACTCCAATGCTACACCTGCAAAGAAGAGAAAGCACCACAGGAAGCACACCCTGAAAGCACAGCTCAGAGGCCATGGAGAATCAGGTACGGCACCACCAGGGGGACCACCTGGTCCTAAACGCTATGTCCACGCCCACTGGTTCTCTTTGTGACACTCCTGCCTTTTGGTGCCAGGAACCCACATCACAGCACCTGGTGACAGCACTAGTAAGCATGCGCAAAGGCCTCACACCTCGACCCCAGAGCCCAAGGGACCGACCGCTAAGACACAAACCAGGAATGCATGCGATTACTCAGTACAGAGTAACACAGCATCCCAGTGTGGCCCCAACCCTGTCTCCAAAGAAGGGTTTCAGGAGACTCAGAATTTCTCTAACTTCTCTCTGCACAAAGTAGTAGAAAAGTGGGATTTGGCCTGGACTGGTATAAGACAGCACTTCCCTTGGCCACACCAATCTAAATCGAGGAGGATGAGGTGAGGAGATTTGCTGACCACACAGGAGACAGCAGTGCCCAGGACCCAGCCCAGCCTGCCTCATTTCTCCAGCTCCTCCACGGGCACTGCAAGCTCCCCAGGCACAGTTGGCACTGTTGCCCTTTCCATACCCCACAGAAAGGCTGGCTTGGATGGCAGGGCAGGTGAACCGGAAGTGCTGTGGGGGGACATTAGCACTCTGATGCAGGACAAGGTTCCCTCAGCGATGACAAAGTGCAAGCTCAGGCTTCAGAAGTGCAGCGAGTTGGGCATGTGTTAGGGTCTGCAGAGGGTCAGTCTCGGAGACTGTTCTGGGAGTGCTTGAGAAGGATGTGTGCACTGCTGCTGCTAGGTAACAGGCCATGCAGGAGAGGGTGAAGGGCCCGACGGAAGGGCAGGGAACAACAGAGCCTGGCGTAAAGGCGGGAACCTACAAATGGGCCTCAGATGTGGGGAAATGGCTTCTGCTCTCCCAACAGAAACGATGACAGAAGGAACTTACTGCTCTGCTTCTGCAGAGGCCACGGCTGTTGGTCACTTGTCAGATGATTCCAACATGCGTGTGTACATGCGGTGTCGATGAGTGTGTCCACAGACAGAGGCCACTGAGATGGCCTAATATGGCTTTGGTGTTGAAGCTCAGAGTTAAAGGACACAAGTTCCTTACTAGCATAGCAGTTTTACTGAGTTCTGGGTCCTCGGCAATACTGATGTTACACAACCACTAGCTTGATACACTGAATAACCACAGAGGAGCAGCTGTTGTGTGGGGGCCACCACAGCCCACTTCCTCCCACTCCCTGATGAAACCAGGGGCCTGCACAGTGCCCAGCAGGCTCACAGCTCTGCCTCTCCTGGTCTAGGTGTCCCCAGGGCTGGCTCCTTTCTGCAGGGGATGACTTGAGATGTTGGCAAACTCAGCCCCACAAGGCTGCAGCCCGTGCCCCGTCTTCTGCTGGCTGTTGGCTAGGTGTTGGTCTGCATTCTCACAGGCGTGCACATAGCTCAGGGCCCTGTGCAGCTATGGCTGCTGAGTTCCCTCCACTGCGCATCTCCCTGGCTTCCCTTTACCTGCACCCTCTGAGGCACCTCTTCCACTGGACCTCTCTGCCTGCCTCTGCTACCTTGTTCTGCTGATTTTAAGGGCCCATTGCCCAGCCTCTCCACAGGATCTTCACCTCACAACCCCAGGTCTGCAGTCGTAGCTGCATCGGCAAAACCCCGCACAGCAGTCTGTGGCAGGACCCTTCAAAACCTGCCTGCTTCAGCCTACCCCACAGTCATGCACCAGGAAGCCAGACAGAAAGTGGGCCATCTGATCCGCTATCTAGATAAACTGTGTCATTTTTCAGAAACCACAAACCAAACCAAAGTGGATTCCAAGTAGGCTGAGTAACCAAATGTTTAAAAACTAAGCAAAAACATAACAAAAACCAAAACCCAAAAACCAACCAACAAAAAAACCACCATGGCTGTTTTAAAAATATTAGATTACATGCAATGTTCATCTAATCTTCAGATGGTTACAGCATAAGAGAAAGCAAAGAAATAGCAAAGGGGAAATGAACAGATGAAACTACATTAAATATAAAATCTCAATTAAATGAAAAGGCAAGAAGTCAGATTGGGTGAAGCACGTTAAATCTACACCCGAGGTTAACAGTCCTTCTGTGAAGAACTCAAGAATAAAAGAAAATTTTAAAAATGGTTAAGAGAAAGAATGTAGATTTCTTTTGTGAACTAATCATGTTAGAAGTCTCACTTTTCAGCAACCAAAGGTGCACTGAACTACTAATTTTCTGCCATATTGCAAAAATATTTCTGTTAGCAGATTTTTGGTACTGGGGATCGAACTCGGGACCTTGTGCTTATGAGACAGGCGCCAGAACCACTGAGCTAAATCCCTGGCCCTCTGTTAGTAGTTTTTTAAGACCATACTCAAGCTCCCAAGGTAAAGAGACACCCAAACTGTGTGGAGACACAGGCTGTCTGGTAAGGTTCATAGGCAGACTGTTTACTGAGGAAAACAGCTTCAAAGCTTTATAACACAGGAGAACTTTCTAAGAGATTCACTAAACCACGAACAGACATCCAGGGGGGATTTTTGGGAGATAATTGGGGGTCCCTGAGGTTTCCTGCGGACATGAAATGGTTCCCCCATCTGTGACAGTGGTGAGGGCAGGGTGCCTCACTGCATATGGGGGCCCCAGGTTAGACACCCCAGGCTGGATCCAGGCTTGGTGGGCGGGCTGACCTGAGCGCGAAGGTGTTGGCTCTTGAGGCCTCCGAGACCAGCACCCCTGAGGACCAGAGTACAGGGACTTTCACAGTCAGCTGAGCCCTCATGGTTTCCTGTGGCTGCTTCAGCTACAGCATCACAGAAATGAAATCGCCTATTCTCCAGGGCTCTGATGAGGTACAGCTGGGCCCTGGGCAGAGCCCTCCTGGCCTCTGCTAGCCGCACCTTGGCCCAGGGCTGCTGCATCCTCTTCCCTGGGTGCCTGTCTGTGTGTCCCAGGACACCCAGCACTGAAGTGATGATGGCCCTGGAAATCAAAGTTAGATGAGTCTGGAAACTCCTAACTATATGCAATGGCTCATTTTCCATACAAAGGCACAGTCACAGGCTCTGGAGTTAAGGCATGGACAAATCCTTTTGGGAGCCACTGTACAAACTACTGTGTTACAGCCCCAAACTGTGATTCCCTAAGTCATAAAGTTACCAGAGCCCTTTAGATACTTAGAGGCAGGATTTCCTTAGTAATCCAACACTCGTGTCAGTCAGCTTTCTATTACTGTAACAAAATACCAGAGGTGATTAACTTAAAAAGAAGGAAGAATTACTTAGGCTGTTTTGGAGGCTCTAGTCCAAAATGAGGTGGTGCCCTGACTCTGGGCCTGCAGAAAGCAGAGCACACTGTGGAAGGAGAGTGTGACGGAGTGAGACGGGTCACACCACAAGACAGGACGCAGAGAAGCAGAGGATGGGCGGGTTCCGCATCTCCTTCCAGGGCAGATCCCAGACCCCACGACTCCCCGGGCTACCACCCCCCGCAGCACCATCTGGCAGACAGAGCCTTTAACACAAGGGCCTGGGGAGCATGTGAGACCCAAACCTCCTGGCAGCTGCAGGTGCTCCCAGGCAAGCAGACTGAGTATCAGACCTGCAGGGCATGGCTGCTGCAAGGAAATGCCACAACCACAACTGAGTGGCTTGTAACCCACAGACAGGTGTTTCTCGCCATCTGGAAGTTGGGAAGTCCCAGGTCCACATGCAGTGTGTGGGGGATCATGTGGTCCACCACGGAGGGAAGGGGTAGGGCTTCTGGGGTGAGGCACTAAGCCCAGCCTGAGGGTTTCACCACATCCCCTGATCACACCTAAAGGCCACCACCTCTTTCCTTCCCTGCAGGGCCCCGCCAGATGTGCACTAAACAGACACTGAATCCTAAGACCCTCGAAGTTCAACACCCAGGGAGCATGTGAAAATGAAGGCAGATGTCCACTCCTCAACAACCATTCTTCACTACAGAAGCTGGAGAGTACCTCACACTGACAGACCATTTCAAACACGACATGACATGATACACACTGCACATGGCTGCACCAGGCACACTTGGGGGCTCACCTTCGATGTAGAGGGGCTCCACCACGTCGTGGTTGATGAGCTCGAAGTTCTCGTGGCCAATCCAGTGCTCCACATTCCGTTTCCTGCCTGTGAAGAAGTTGTCCACCACTGTCACCTCGTGGCCGTCCATCATGAGTTTGTCTGTGAGGTGGGAGCCCACGAACCCTGCACCGCCGGTGATCTGCATGGAGAGAGCATGTACAGAGCATGCTCAGAAAGGGCATGTGAGAATGGGAGGTGACCAAAATCTCAACAACGTGCTTCTGGCATGGCCACAATTTGCACAGATTTGAAATCAGACGCGGGAAGTAGAGGGCAGGGGTTTAGGCAGCATCTTCACTTTCCCAGAGCCAGTCAGTCACACACTCTGTGAAAAAGTGAGCAGTCTACAAACTGCAAGCTACCACCCAGCGACTCATACAGAAGCATCAGAGCTAAGGTCCCACAATGTCTTCACGGAGGGTCTCATATGATTAATTGTTTCTTGTTTTGTAACAGATGAGACGCTGAACATCCCCTATAGCAGGCTTCACATCCGCCACCCCAACTGACTGTGGATTGATAATACACTTAGGTGTCTGAGTCTGTACTGAACATTTACAGACTTCTTTTCTGCTGTGATTACTCTAGTCAATGTAGCATAGTCACTATTACACAGCACTGACCTTGCACAGGATGTGTAATCTAGAAATCAGTCAGAATACACAGGAAGCTGTGAATGAGTTCTATGCAAACTCAACACCATTTACATAACAGACGAGCATCTTCTGATTCTGTTACCCACAGGAGTCCTGGATCCAGCCCCTGGGGACACCAAACGATAACTGTGTACGGTTCCAATACTACTGAAAGGGTTTAAAGTTACTTTATTAAAAAAGTGATCAGCAAAATGCAGAGATTCGGTAAACTACCAAAACAGTATGCAGTGGACTCAAACTGGACTCAAACTATCATGAAAATGGGTAGCTCATGACCCAGTCCCTGGCCATATGACCTTTTCTTCCCACATCCATGCTACCATGTCCTTGTTCTCCCTGCAGTGGTTCCCACAAAAGGACAGACAATGGGGCTGCCTAATCTGGGACTTCTGGCCTCCAAAACTATGAGCTAAACAACTTCCCTCTATGAAGTACCTGCTATGAAGCATTTTGTGATAGAAACTGAAAACGACAGATATACCTACATTCTAGCTCTATACCTGCACAGTGACTGTGAGAAAGGATTTTCTGGAAAAACACCTGAATTTCAGACCTGAGGTGCCTCTACTGCTTACCTCAGGGGATGAGCTTTCATTTTCTTCTAACATTGCTCTGTTGAATTTTCCCAACATTTTCATGGTTTTTAAAGCAGAAAAAATTATTAGTACAAAGAAACACAACCTCTTTTAATGTAACTTCATATGTTTTATGTGAATGTGTCTGAAAACAAGAGTACATAGAGTTCTGTGGGACGCTAATATTACTTACATATCCAAAATACCCAGCTGACAACCCAAACTAGCAGAAATGCAACAAGTTAAGTTACACACAATTACTGCCAATGTTTCAATAGCATTAGTGTGACATAAAATTGCTGGAAGCACCTGAGCCTTGACCAAAATGCACTGGAGTTCTTTCTCTCAATTTTTATAATTACTGAAGGATTTATGTAAAACAGCTGGATAGGTTTACTTTTTTTCCCTAATCAATTTTAGCCTAAGAGGCAAATGAGTCAAATGAAAGCAAAACCAGAGCAAGCTGCCAGGCTCCCGGGGAACACAGGATCTCCAAACCCACGCACACTGTTTGCATAACAAGAGCCAACACCAGGAGAGACAGCAGGGGAAAAGACAGAGATCTCTCCACTAAGAGGGACGGGACCTGCCACAGCTCAAGGCATGCGTGGTTCTCGGTCCTATGGGTACCAAGAGGCAGTGTGGTGGTCCAGGACAGGCCAGCATCCAGCATTCCAGCTCATGTTGCTCAGCCAATCAGCAAAAAGAATACATTTCCACACAAATCTCTGTCCTAAGCCTTCAACAGCTATTGAAAACGCTTTGGCAACACTATGCCAGCCCCAGGGCAGCAGTGACTCTGAGATGTATGTGGTCCATGAGACAGCAGGTGAAGGAGAAAGGCAAAGGCCACTTTTTGTGGTGCTGTGTAAGAGAAATAAATTCCACTCCTCACAGTACTGGCAGGAGATCATCCCACACAGAAATCACAACGGCTCCAGCAAGGCTGCAGGGCCTTACAAAGGGCTGCTGTGGTAAGGGCTGCCCCCCAACTTTACATTGGAGCCTTAATTCTCATTACTGAGGCAGGGGGCTCTGAGAAAATGAGGAGCTCAGTCCTCCTGTCTTTCTCTTGTGCCCTCCGTTTGCCCATCTGCCATACCAGGAAGGCCCCCACCAGGCATCAACACCTTGACCTTGGACCTCGCTGACTCCAGAATCCTGAGCTACTAGAGTTCTGCTCATTGTCAATTGTCCATGCTGTGGTTGGTTTGCTAACAACATAGAACAGAAGAAGAACAGACCTTCAAATCTGGTAATAAAGCTCACACGTGTCAACAGAGAAATATTAGAAAACTGAATTTTGCTGACACCAATCTATTTTGATGCAGCAGAAATAAGCCAAAAAGATGGGCATATGAGCAGCAACCAACCTGACAGTCTGCCCAAGGTGAGAAGTGTGTAAGCCATCTCAAAAGGCAAGAAAATGGCAATTAAGTGTGGCAAAGTCTAAGACTAACTTAGGAGTAGCAGTCATATTTTGGTGTTTGGAATGCACAGTTCTGCAACCTAAACAGGTAAAGGAACAGAACCCAGCCAGTGCACTAGCCACTGATAAATCAGGCACAGATAAAACACTCATGCAAGTGCGCGCCCACAGACCAGCTTCCCAACAAATAACCGTCTGTGCTGATGATCATTAAGAACAGATAGTGAAAGCCTCTGGAAACTCTCCTAAATAAGTCCAGAAGTAACATTTCAAGAAAATCTAAACTTCAGTGAGAAATCAAGTCTGCAACACGCCACAGCTCAGAGTGGATGAGTGTGCTGGGTGTGGCCCAGAGTGCAAAGAGACAGAATCTCTCACCAGCATTTCCCAAACTGGGAGGCTGAGGGCAACAGGTTTTGGTCACCCTCCTGGGGCATCAGAGCATGAAATAGAAACAAATAGAAATTCTAGAGCAAAAAAGTACCACAACTGAAAAGAAAAACTCAATTGACAGACTCAACAGTTTATTGGAACTGGGAAAAGCATCAACCAATTTAGACCGTGAAGAGAACAGAGAACCCAAAGAACAGACAGAAAAAAGTACAGGACAATGAACATAGCCTGCAGCAAACACGGGGTACCGGCATGAATACAAACAATGGAACACTGGAAGGAAGAGGGAAGGAACAGGAAAATATTCCAAGAAATAATGGCTGAAAATGCTCACACCATTGAAGATAGCTAACTAAACATCTAAGAAGCTCAGTAAACTGTAAGTAGGAAAACACAAACAAAAGCAGTTGCACACAGACACATTACACAAAAACTGCTGAAAACCAAAGACAGATGAGCTTCTGAAACCAGTTACAGAAAGCTGATTACTGTCCTGTCAAATTCACACCCTACCAAACTTCACAATGCAACCTTCTTTGAAAACATGGCTACTGCAGGCATGACTCATTCACATGGGCCAGGGTGGGCCCTTCTTCCTGTGAGAGCCACACATGAGGACCTGCGGGACACAGAGGTAGGGACAGGGTGATGGATCCCTATCAGACAAGGAAGGCAGAAGGTGGCTGGCAGTACCAGGAGCTGGACACAGGCAAGGGGCAGCACAGCCACACTTTGGTTCTAGAATTCTGGCTTCCAGAACCCTGACAAATGACATTTATGGGTTTTGTGTTAAGCTACAGGCGGTGGTAACTGTTACAAGAACCCTAAAAATACAGCAGAGAAAGAAAAATGATTTGTCTAATACAAGGTTATTGTAACAAGTAATGCAGAAAGCAGCAGATCACACATTCAAAGTGAAAAAAGAAAACAAACCCAAAAACTTGTCAATAAAGAAGTTACATAACAATCAAAAATAATCAGAAATAAGAACACCATAAAGACATTCCTAGATTAAACACAAAATGACGGAGATCACTGGTAGCAGGCCTACAAGAAATACCAAAGTGAGACAGGTGACCCCAGGGATTTGAAACCATAGGGCAGGGGACAAATAAGGGGATGCAGTAATTATAAAAGATTGTATAGCTGGGGATTTAGCTCAGTGGTTCTGCCGCCTGCAACACAAGTGCAAGGACCCGAGTTCAATCCCTGGTACCAAAAAAAAAAAGATTGTACAATTGCACATTTTTCCTTTTGGCTCTTAAATCATTTAAGAACTAAATGCATAGCACAAGGGAGTCATGGAAACATATGTTTTTAAATGGTTAAAATGATAAATTTTAAATGCATATTTTACCACAAAAGAGAAAAAAGAACTAATATATAAAACAGCACATAATTGTATTATTGGTCCCCATAATATCCAAGTAAATTTGACAACATCAGCACAAAGACAAAAGCAATATTGCAGCAAGAAATGAAAATGAATTAATTCAAACTCAGGAACAACTGTGGGAATCCAGATGTGATGATAAAGTTAATCTAACAAATTCTATAAATATTACTTTACTCACTGTCAGCTTCTTTAGAAGACATTAAATTATATAAAGTAAGAAACCTAAGAATGCTTTACTGGGCTTGTGATGTGGACAGTAATACATTTAGCAAAAGCACCACAAGAAGGAGAAAATGTAAGAGAACTGTGTGAGCAGCATCGACAGCTCACCAGAGCTCGGGCAGCACACAAGCTATACAGTCTCCTAAGTTCAGATGTGCATGAGAAACATTGGCACAAGCAGTGATGACAAGAATTCACAGGTAACATAAGACAGTGTTTACTGAGAGCAGAAGAACACAGTAACCGAGGGACACTGGACAGAGAGGACCTGAGGCACAAGGGAAGGGAAAGGGCAGGAGTACATCCAGCCATCTCTGCTGGAGCAGGGATTGTGAATGGCTTAACAGTCCACTTGCAAGGCAAGGCCTGTCAGCATGGAAAGGAAAAAGGCAAAACCAATCAAACAAAAACTCCAAAACCAGATCCGAGGATGGATGTACTGACTAAAGAAGGCACTCTAGATTCAAAGACACAACGAGCACCACATAAAAAGATATAAAATACAGCATTCAGACAGCAAGAAAAATAAAAGTGGCTACAGTGATAGCAGACAAAATATACTTTAAAACAAAAAGTATTAAGAGAGAGAGGCATTTTATAATGATAAAAGGGTGATCAGACAGTTATTACATTGATAATCATTTATATACCTAACAAGAGCACCATAAAGTTGGAAGAATTGAAGGGAAGAATACGGAATTCAACAATAGTAACTGGAGATTTCAATACTCCACTCTGACAGAACTATGCAGATGATTAAGAAAAAAACCTGAAGATTAAAAAACATTATAAATCAATAAGACCTAAGAGATACCCACAGTCCACCCAACAACAGCATAGCATACAATCTAAGAGCCAACAATATTCTTCTGGATAAACCATTTCCAAGACCATAAAACAAGCATTAATAAATTTAAAGGATCTGAATCATTCTAAGTATATTATCTGACTATAATGGAATAAAATTAGGTCATCAGTAACAGGAAAAACCTTGAGAAACTCACAAGCATGAAGAAATTAAGATACTGGTAAATAGTAAGTGATCAAAGAAGAAACCACAAGGGAAATAAGAAAATGCTTTGAGCTGAATGACAGAAAAGAAACGGTATGTTAAATCTGTGTGCAGCTACAGCAGTGCCTGGAGGGAAATTTATAGCCGTAAAAATTTTTATTATTGAAAAAGAAGAAAGATCATGAGTCAGTAATTGAAACTTCTGCCGAACACTCAAAAAAGAAGGGCAAACTGACTCTAAGACATGTAGAAGGAAGGAAACAAAAAACAGAAATTCATGAAATAGGGAACTGAAAAAAAAGAGAGAAAAGGAAAAATCAGGAAAACTCAGATGGTTCCTTGAAAACATCAATAAAATCAACAGGTTGTTAGCTAGACTCAGGAAAAAGAAAGACTCAAATTACTGAAAATTAGAAATGAAAGGGGGAAGTACTACTGAATTTAGAAAAATAAAAAGATTACAGGAATTGCATAAACAAATGTATGCCAACAAATCAGACAACTTAGATGAAATGGAGAAACTTCTAGAAAAACAAAGTATCAACACTAACTCAACATATAGGAAATCCAAGTATATCTTTAGCAAGAGATTGAATCAAAGTAATCATAAAACAAACATCACCAACAACAAAAAATTCCCAATATAGAAAAGTCTGGCTCAAATAGTTTCTGTGGTGAATTTCACCAAACATTTAAAGAAGAATTGGCCAGGGATTTAACTCAGTGGTTCCACCACCTGCCTCAAAAGCACAAGGTCCTGAGTTCCACCCCCGGTGCCAAAAAACCCCAAACAAACAAGGTAAAGAAGAATTAAGACCAAAGCTTCACAAACTCATTCAAAAATTAAATAAATAAAAGATAAATACTTTCCAATTTATCCCATGAGGCTAGTATTGCTCTAATATCAAAAGCAGAAAAAGACATCCTAAGAAAAGGAAATTACCAATTGTCTCTTGCACACAAATACACTATAACCAATTGGAATTATTCCAGGTTTGCCATGATGGTTGTAAACTAAGGAAATCAGGGGCTGGGGGAAAATTCTTTAACTTGACAAAAGGCACTGACAAAAATCCCACAGGTGGCACCACAGTGAAGGTAAAAGAAGGAAAATCCTGCAAATCGAGGCAAGAACACCTGTCCCACGCTCCTCACCAATGCACTGAAATTCTGTCCAGTGCAATTCAGCCAGGAAACAAAATAAAGGGATCCCTATGGAAGAGTCAGAATTAGACTACTTGGAAATGCAGATGACACAGGCCTGCACCTAGAAAACCAAAGAAATTCATTAGAACTACTAGAACTATCCCAGCAATTCAGACCAGACCCTTGGACCCGCAGGCAGGAACCCAAATGTTGTGGCTGATTTGGCCCTGGGTACACACAGGGTCACATGACCAGTAAGGGAAATGCAGAAACAAGATGCACCAAATTCACACAACATATGACATGGAATAAGAAGGTAGGAGAGGCCACTGGTTCTCTCTTGCACGGTGGCCCACCCTCATGATGTAAGGAGTATTTCTTTTCCTACTTTTACTTGGGTCAAAGTCGCTCTGCAAAGCCTGTTTCTTTTCTTACCTTTAATAAAAATTAAAAAATAAAAAAAGGCAAGAGATACTGAGATAAACAACAACTGGAAGCTAAGAGAGTCACCAAAGGAGAAACACAGCATTGTTCCATTTCAGACAAATCCAGAATTGGCAAATCTACAGCCAAAAGGAGAACAAAGGCTGCCAAGGACTTGTGGTACAGAGGGCCCTCAGGGACACTGAGGAGCCACCACTGATGGGTGTGGGGTTTCTTTTTGAGGTTCTAAAACTGGACATGGTGAAAGTCACACCACTCTGGGTTTATAATAAAAACCACCCAAGGGTCCATGTCAAAGGATGAATTATGTGGTATGTGAATTACATCTCAATAAGGCTGTTACTTAAAAGATACACAGGTACAATTTCTGGACAAGAGTTACACTTGGGTTTTCACTGGTGAATCTGTGCTGATGTTTAACAAGGAGACTAAGCCAAGGAAGCCGCCAGGGTACTCACCAATCAGTCTGTGAACCAGAAAAGCTTAAAAACTCCTCACTTTTCTTGAAGTTTCACAATGCCTCAAAAAGCTACGCAGAAGATCCCCACATGATCCAGTGATTCCAGTCCTAGGCACAGCCAAAGGATCTGGAGTTCACCAGCCACACACAAACCCATACACACAAGTAGACAGCAGCCTCACTCACTCACAACAGCCTCAGAATGGACACCACTGCTAATGCCTATCCCTGAGCAATGGACAGGCACATGTGCTGTACCACACTGGGCGATGGATTTGCCAAAGGAAGGGACGGAAAACTGCTTCCTGCCACAGGAATGAAACAAGGCATAAAAGACCATGTGCTACACCACTGTGCTCACATGAAACATGCAAATACGGCCGATCACAGACACAGAAAGCAATGTAGGTGGCTGCCAGAGGCCAAGTGAGCAGTGGGGATGGTGACTGGTGGGTATGGGGCTCCTTCAGGGGGTGGCGAAGACACTGCAGCCAGTGTATGGTGCTGTCACAACTGTGCCAGCCAACTACAAACCCCTGGATATGTACATGAGGAGGCTGAACTCCATGCACAGACATCTCCCAATGAAAAACCAAGAGTGTTAATGTGACAAATATTCATCAGATGGGCAAACTTACCAAAATTCTTTTACGATCCTTTTCTGATAAGAACTTCACTGGTGGGTATTTCTGGGTGAAACTGTAAAACATGACGAGAGTAAAAAAGAAAAGTCAGGTGTCTCCATGGGGCATATTCTCCACCCACTACCAGGGCAGAGGTCAGATCTGAAATTCTGACGGCTGGTGCCTTGTTTTCACTTCTGCCGGAGGAACCCAGGAGCCCCTGGCTAGAGCTCACGGAGCTCTTGAAAGCCTACACCTGCTGCTGTTTAGAATCAAGCCAACCCACAGGTTCACACTGGCTGGGAAAGCAGAGGTGAGACCACCTCTGCCAGGCCAGCAGAGGCAGCATCCTCAAAATGACCAGGCAGAGCCCAGAGGGAGGCAGCAGCCACAGGAGGTCACAGGCCCCACTTGGGGAACTGTGACACGCAAGAGCAAAGAAAGGAGACATCGCTAAGTTACCCCCTCTGGGCATCCTTATGGGTCCCTTTCTGAACAGCATCCTAGGTGCACAGACAGCACCAGCACTGCCTGTCCTGCATGGTCTGCCCTGTCTCCTGATGCCCTCTTGTGCACACCAATGCTCCAAAGCACTGCAGCCATTTGAAATGCTTGTTCAAAGTGATTCGGTTAGAAACAAAGGTGCTTTGAGTTAAGTCTGTGACCAGCTTTTACACTTGTTTTAATTGCAGCAATGCTAGCCTAGGTGCTGGCCCATGCACAGTCCCTGTCCCCAGCATGGGCCTAGTCCGAGGACACAAGATGGGTTTCTGAACAGTGTGACAGCTTGTTAGCCGGGGACACAAGAGCAGGTGTTTCTCCTCTCTGAAGTGGGAAGTGTGCTCATTTGCAGCTGAGGGCTTCCTCTTATATGGAAGAATTCCCATGAGGAGCTTCTTGGTCCCTGAGCCCCCTGCAGACCACAACATAGGCAGGCAGAAGGGAGGATGGAGGGCCCAGGACCTGAGCAGCAACCCTGGCCTTCGTGGTGAGCTGCACCCAGCACACCCCCAGCTGTGTGCTCACGGCTTCCTCTGCCCAAGGGCTGGCACCACTGTGGGAACTCACTTTCTTCATTCTTCTGGCAGTGTTGGACACTGCATTGGGCCGCATGCCTGCCAGGCAAGCACTCTACCCTGAGCTACACTCCAGCCAAGAAACTCGTTCTCTACCAGTCTTGTGACTTTAGAGGGGCATTAGGGAATGAGATGGCAGTGGCAAGCTGGGCAGAGAAGGGAGGGCACAGGGACCTGCTTGGTGAGGACAGCAACACAGGCTGTAGGTGCAGGGCCACCGATCTAGCCCAGAAGCAAACTTAATCCAAGTTACTAGCTTAGAACACAGTCTTCCCCTGCTATTGTCGGGGTTGGCCCCAGGACCCCTAAGATACCAGGGGCTGAGGCTGTTCAAATCCCTCACGTAAAATGGTCATCCTTGCATGGAGTCTCTCACATGGTCCCCTATGCTCCAAATCATCCAGAGGACACATAGCTGCTAGGACGCTGCAAGCACTACCTAGACAGGTGTGACACGGCGCTGTGCAGGGAGCAATGACCAGGAAAGTTGGTACATGTTTAGTACAGATGCAACTGTCTCCCCTATCCACAGCTGGGCCTTGTGTGAAATACGAATAAAACTGGGTGTGTCCTTTATCACAGGAAGAAAACAGCAGACAGTTTCCCTCCAGAAGGAAATGCTCTTTTGAGAGAGAGAAGAGTGGAGCAGGGGCTGGGGACTGAGCTCAGTGGTGCCACTGCCTGCCTCGAAAGCACAAGGTCCTGAGATGGATCCCCGGTATCAAAAAGAAAAAAAAAGAGTGGAGCAGATTGGACACTGCACAATACTACCTGTATCAGGACATCAAACAGCACCCCATAACAACACAATTTTTCTGTCAGTGAAACACAACTGAGCCAAAAGCAGGTTTTTGAAATACACAGTTAATCGTGCAGACAGCCTAAGAAACACCACCAATGCCGCATGCTGGAACCTTTAACTTAAATTGAAAACAAATTGGTTTCCTGCTTTGTTTTTCTTCAATATGTAGCAACCAAGCTTCACACTTCATATGTAGGTTCAAAGATGTCTTACACCCTCATTTCCTGCTTGGAGAGGCCAGATGTGGAGCTGAGTGATAGGAGGGGCCATCAGGTGCCTTCCAGATGCATGCCACCCAGCCATGTGGAGCCATGATGTGGTGACCTGAATGTCACACCTAGGTACCACTGACTGGTCCCAGCCTGGGCTCCATGCCCCTCCATGCTGGGCACTGGGTTTGGGGAAGTCCTGACAGGTGAAAATCTGGCCCAGTATAGGCTCGGCCACTCTGGAGGCTTTACCTGAGCACCTGTCCCTTCGAGGCCCAGGCATAGCAGTGACCAGGGGACAGCAGGTCCCCGCCTGCCCACAGAACACAGCAGGCGGGCAGAGGCAGAGCCAGCATGAAGTGGGTAACAGACCTCTTCTTATGGATCCCTAGCCAGACCTTTCCTGATCATTTCAAGGAATCCCACACCCTGAGCTCACGGTTCAGTAGGACAGCCTGTAAGCTGCTTTCTTACTTGTAATTTAACTTATTCCTGCTCAGAGAACACTAAAGACATGGCAATGAAATCAAACAGATGGCACACAGTAGGCTTGCTGTGTCTGGAAGAATCCAACTAACTGCGGATCAGAAATATTTAAAACAAAACTTCACCTGTACTGAACGTGGACAGACTTACTTTCTCATCCTCACTCCCTGAACAGCACACTAACAACTGTTCAGCTATTTATACACCAGTGCAACTGAGTAAGGTATGGGGGACGCATACTGCTTCTATGCAAATACAAGGCTTCTGTACAGAAGGTGCTTGAGCACCTGCGGCCTTAAGGGAGCTTGGACACCACGGGGCCTGGAAAACCAAAGCTCTATGGAACAGGGTGTGGCAAGGAGAGGAAAGCCCACATGCCATTCACTTGGGCTTCTGTGATGCCACCATGCTCTTTTTCTTTAGATAAAAGTAGTCTTTAACCAGTAGAAATACCCCATTTCTTTCACACCACACTGCTCCAAGTGACAAGCGCAACAAGAAAGCACACTTCTGGTTACATTCTTATCTTGTGGATGTTTGATCATCCTTATCACAATCAGGGAAAATCAAACCAGAAAATAAACTCCACCCATTCCCAGCTTGCCCTCCCTCTCAGGCCCTCCCCACTTGACCTTCTGGCTGAAGCAGCAGTACAGGCTGTCATCTGCCTGCTCACCACCCTGAGCAACAGAGCCAACCTGGCCACCCATGGGGTTGTCCAGGAGGTGATGCCAGCCTCAGCCCCACTGTGTGGGCAGCTCCCCTGGGTCCTATGATTAAATCCTTCCTTGTATCTTCTTCTAATTTAAAAGCACAAAGAACATCATAAAAACAAAAGAAATCACATAAATCTCTTCTTTCAAGAGATCTTATCTACGAGCCATCACCTTAGGGAAATTATTGAATTGATTTTTTTTTTCATAATTAAATGAGTATTTTTGTCTGAAGAAAATGATCACCGATGGACTTGTTTTTTTGACAAATGTAAAATGTAGGTTATTTCTTACTATGTGCAATTTATTGTTTTTAAAAACTTGAATTAATAAAGCCCCTCAAATTATGCAGCCTTATTGAAGAGAAAGTTTCCAGCTGTCACCCAATGAAATGTTACCAGCAGCAGCAGCAGCACATCAGCATGAAATCATGGCATGGAAAATTTAAAGCACAGATAACAATAAATAGGGATTAATTTGGGGGGGGGTCAGAAAGACCAATTATTGATTTCATACTTCATTCTGCTTTATATCCAGGAGGACTGAAAACGTCCAGTCCAGCAGGGGTCGAAGGTAAGGGTTTGCCCAGCTGCTCTGTCAAGGACAAGAAGAATATGAATGAGTGCATTTGACGAATCTGCTCCATCTCTGTTTCCCTCTGATCACATAATGAGAATCAAAGGGAAGCTGCTCTTCACATCTCCCTTTTTGTTCTGGATTTGATAAAGGGCTCACAGGATGTCGGCACTCATTGGTCCAGTTGCATTACAAGAAAAGAAAAAGCATCACATAAACTTAACAAATGTGTGTTTTCTTTTTTTAAAGGCCTGAGGACTCAACTGTTATCATATTCACTCTCGAGGTTGACCTTCTAGTGCCTGAGACTTCACTGATGGAGAAGCATGAGTGACAGAGAAAACACTTGTGCCTGAGGCTTGTGCCCCAGACTCCTGCCCAGCACAGGCAGCCCCGTCCACCTACAACCTGACTCACAGGAAGATTTCCTCCTCGCATTACTCCATTCCTCCCTCCTGGCCACTTCACCTGATCTAACTCTGGACACTTGATGTGCTTTGCCAACAGATGCAGATAAGTGACTACACAAGACCCATCACAGCACATAGCCTCTTGCCATGCTTATGCAGGGATGTGGTGTCCCGCACCCTCGGGGTGGTTGCCTTGTTCTGGAAGGTGTTACACTAATCCATGCTAGCTGGAACCACCTGAGCATCTCACTCAGAGATGGAAGGCTGAGGTCAACCTTGTTGACCTGAACCTGCAGGGATTCGGGAATTCACAGGTTTGCAAGGAAGATTTCACACCTAGATCCTTTCTTTGTCCAGTGTTCTGACTACAGTATTTCATTCTAATCAAACACAGGAAAACATCAAGAGAGTTTATGTGGAAATTTGTTTAGACTACCACAGTTAATAGAAATCAAACTGATGTTAGAAGTATTTTTAACTAAGAATCTATGGTTGGTATTCAGTCATACCTCTAGAAAAATAAAATAAATTAAATAAATCTTTTTTTTTATCCTGGACAGAATCCATTGCTTTCATCAGAAATAGTCCTAATCAAAAAAGAACAAAAAGTTTAAAGACAGTGCATCCAACCTTTCAGTAAAACAGCCCTTATGCATTATGTTACAAAGATCTCATCGTGTCTTTCATTCTAAATGGACTTTCATAAATGGACTGAACAGAGGTGAACTCAGACTGGTTACAGACCTTTCCTGTCACACAGCCAACATGTAAGTACTTTCCTAAACTTGAAACAAAATGTGCACATACCTTTTTTCCAAATCTCTGATTTTCTCTCTCAGTGGCTCAACAATCTAGGATGACAATAAGAAAAATCAGTTTTAAAGCAAAAACCCAGTATTCTACCACTTGCACCCTCTTCTGACATTTCAGGTGAGCATGACACAATGTAAAACAGATTTTAATTTCCTGTATAGTTGATACTGAGACAAACCACTTGAATCTCAATGTTAGAATCAAACAAATAATCATCAAATCTTGAAAAATTCACCTTTTCGCACACCAACCTTGCCAGGAAGAAGGCAAAGGAGTTTTGGGTTCCTAAGGCCAGGCAGGTCAACAGGACCCACCTCCTCGGGACCCAAAGATCCCCAAGCATGGCCCACAGCAGTTTCACAGCTTGCTTCTGCAACTGTCCTTGCGTTATCAGTATATAAGCTGTTGGCTGAGTCAACCCACACTCCATGCCACCACCCATCGTGAGCCCAGGCAGAAGGAGCAACCCAGGATTTCCCAGTATTTGTCTTCTAATCCAGATGTGCTGCAGCAGTCCGGATGCACCTGCACTCGCTCAACTATAAACTGCAGCGATTACTGTCAGCAGGAAGTATCCAGCGAAAGTGCTCGCTGCCAGTTAGGCAGAGGATGACTCCCCAACTCACACAGCAGGCACAGAGATGCTTGCTCTGCTCCACAGCCTTCACCTGGGTGGGGTCGTGCTCCCCTCACACCTGCTCAGGGAGTAGGCGCTGGTACCAGGACCCAGGTTTGTAGGTCATCATTTCCCTTTCTCTAGGAAAGGCTCACCTGAAAAGTCATGTAAAAGTCTAATGCATTTGCCTTTAGAGCGGGGTTTGTTTGAATTCATTATACCTTTATAAAAATGGACCAACAGTGATGGAGACAGATCTATAGGATGACAAAGTCTCTTCTTAAAGAAGAGAATGTTTTTTTGAAATGGTTTCAAAGTTGAGGAACAGCACAGGCTACTGCAATACAGACACTAGCACAAGCAAAGGAAGGGAAAGTGACAAATGCACAGATAGAGGCAGACACAGAAAAGAGACTAACCTCTTCAATCCTGCTTTCAATCTTCAGTTCACTGTTTTCCTGGATAGACCTGTTGAGCAAAAAGCTACAAAACTGAGATCAACTGAAAGGCTTTGGGACTTATAATATTTGTTTCTGCACCAACTACTGACACACAGGCTGAGGAAGGCCCTCCACACCGCCCAAGTGCCAGCCAGTCCTGTGTGCTGGTCCCTGCCAGCAGGGGGCACACCAGAAGGAAAGCCAGGCGCTGGGGAGGGACTGTCCCAAAACCTACTCAGGAACACACTGAGTTTTACCAAGTGATGCTTTCTATTAAACCAAAATACTTCCACATTACCCCAAGAGGGGGCTTTAAATTAGAAGCAGGAAGCGTGCCTATAGGAGTGTATGTTTCTCTGTGGGGATTTAATACAAATGGAGCTTTTCCAAGGGCAGACAACAGAGCTCCTTTAAGGAGGACCTTCCACTCCACCTAGCCACACATAGCTGTCTTTGTAGGAGACACACATGGCCCAGCAGCAGGAATCAGATCCAACCACCCCGCCCAACTGGCAGAGCCAACTCCACAGGAGAAGCCCGCTGGGTGTGGTCTTGTGGGGGAAGGGACAAGCACCTGCCTTCCACTCAGCCTCCTGCAGAAGCAGCAAGCCCAAGGCCAACATCATGGCACATGCGAACACTCGTAATACCAAGAAACAGCAAAGCAAGCAAACTCTTCCTTATTGGAAAACTTTACCAACAGTGCCAAATTGCCTCTCACCATGAGTGCTTACTCCTTCTTTGCTGACTTTCAAAGGGGCTGTTTTTTAATTTGGTACTGATAATTCACATGAAGATTTTAGTTTTACAAGTTTGCCTTTTAAGAAGCCCAAGTCACACACACTCAAGCCAGACACCTACCCCAGGACAAGCAGGCAGGCTCAGTACCCATACCAGGATGTGCCGAGCATCCTAGCTGAAAATCCAAACATCTGAATTCCAAAATGCCCCAAATCCAAACTGTTTTGAGGTGATAACCTGATCCCACAAGTAGAACACTGCACCCGTGACCTCACAGGACTGGGTCATAGTCAGACTACATGTGTAAGGTGTGCGTGAAACACATAGGAACTCTGTCCAGACCTGGACTCATCCTTTGTCTATGTGCAAATACTCTAAATCCAAAAGCAGAAACATAAATACTTCCAGTCCCCAGCATTTCGGGTCAGTGAAGCCCCCTGGAGTTGCAAGCCAGCGCTGATTCCCCTCAGGCAGCCCCACTCCCCAAGACTTGGCCCAAGACTGTGTCCAGAGGGTCACCACTCTGTGATCCATCCAGGGAGGGTGGAGAGGAGGTGGTGACACTGAGATGCTCACTAAAGCCTACTTGAGTGCTTAGCCCAGTGCTCAGCCTGGGGGATGCTGCTATCAGCTGCAGTCCCTGGGGACACCTAGGGCGAAGAGCAACAGCCTAGCAGAACACAGACCCGCCAGAAAATGCTCTTCCACTGACCCACGACCCAGGTGACAACCAAACTGTGCTAAAACCCAACCGCAATACCCAAGTAAGTAAGACAATTACCTCATACTGACGAAGTTCCCCCAAACGGCTGCAAGAGAAAAAAAGAAGTCAGTATTTAACTCAACAACATTCAGGAATTCCGACTGAAAACACTTTAACTTTTAACCAATACTTTCAAACTCACTGAGAAATCTAAATGACAATTTGAAAACAATAAAGTGCACATGTTGCTTTCAGAAGAATTAAATCCTCCTAAAAATTCAAAGTGGGAGTCCATCTGCCCCTGCAGTGCTGGAGTTCAGGGTGTGAACTTTTTTTTTTTTTTTTTTTTTGGTACTGGGGATCAAACTCAGGACCTCGAACTTGCCAGGCAGGTGCTGCACCGCTGAGGTACATCCCCAGCCCCAGGGTGACAATGTTAAGGGTCAGTCACGGAAACCAAAGGATGTGTCCTCAGAGGGATGTGGGGTCCAACTCCCCTCAATGCTGAGACGGAGACCGAGAAGCTTAACAGTGAGCGACTTGAAGCTTGGCTGACTCTACTCCCTTGACGACAGTCACCTGTCACTGTCTCCTCTGTGACAGGGACCTGGCAGCTAGGCATTGCCTGTCCGCACTCAGGCGCCTTCAGTACATGTGCAGAAATCAGCCCTGGCCAACCGTGCACTCTGACCATGTTGACGACAACATAACACAGGACAAGCATGCATCATCTGAAAATGCAAAACCTGAAATGCCCTAAAACTGTCACCTTTATCAGCTGCCCTGAAACCACAAATGGAAAATTTCATCCCAGGAAATTTTGTTTCATGCACAAAATTATTAAAAATATTTTATAAAATTACCTTCAGGCTACATGTACAGGAAACAAATGAATATCATTGTTTAGATTTGAGTGTTATCCCAAGGAATCTCATTATATATATGTGATATGCCAAAAAAAAAAAAAAAATCTCCTCAAATTCAACAGCGGAAACACTTCTGGCCCCAAGTGTTCTGGATAGGGATGCTGACCCAGTACTAGCCCAAGAAGTCACCTTGAATCACAGAGCAGGGGGCTGTCTCATAAAGACACCTCTGCAGTGAGTCCATGGCCTAAGGCTCTGTCTGCAGTTCTGTTTGACTTCTGCCCAGCAATGAGTGCTTCTTGTGCCCTGGTGCTCCCGAGTGCAGGGATGGACAGAGAAGGACAGGGACAGACAGGGACAGAGAGACGAACAAGGATGGACAGGGCTGCAGAGGGATGGACAGTGATGGACAAACGAGCAGTGTAAAGCCCTGAGCTGCCGAGTCTGTGTGTTTGGCAGGGCCCTGGGGTCAGCACTGAGGTCAGCATCCCGTCACCACACATCTCTGTCCAGCCACCCTCCTGCACACACAGGGGTTTAATAAATGTCTGCTGAACACAATTCAGTGTCACAAACATCCTCCTCCCAAGAAGCTCCCTTACCACAAGGGGAATGGTGCTGATTCCAGAAAAGCATGTCTCTCTTCAAACAGAGGAAACTGATAGACAGCAATAAATAACAGAAGTGGAAAAGAAACAAGAAATGGGAGAACTCAAAATAAAGCTACAGTAGATTCATAGTGAACATTTACACCTCGGGGCCCTGACAAGCCCACAGACTCATCAGCCCGGGGCTTTCCATAGCTCATGTGTCTACCCTTGGCCATCCCTGTCTGCCAGGTCTGTCCCTGTCCCACACCCAGGGCCGCTGTGCACACCGTGGTACAGTCACTGAGTTGAGAGGAAGCTGCTGTGCCCTGTCCGAGGATGCCCCTCTCCTGCTACCACCAGGGCCCAGCCAGTACCTCCACAACACAGGCTCACAGAAAGATGGCCTAACACGAATGTTCAATCCTGGTTACACAGCACACAGCCTTCACCACAAAGACCCCACCGGGCAGGATGGCTGGACTCATTTAAAAGACCTCAGGGACTCAGCAGGTCATCAGCTCAGCATCCTTTGGGGCCATCTCCGAAGCAGAGAGGCGAAGGAAATTCAGAGCACCACCTCAGGGTTGACAGCTACTCCAGGGAAGGACTGCTCTGTGTCCTGCCTTGGCGGGAGCTCCATTTGGAGAAATGAGGGGTGGGGATGGCAGAGGCCTTGCTTCTGGGGCTACTTCTGAGGGCTTTCCTGTCCTTCAGGTAAAAGCACCCAGCAGGCTACATCTCCAGGCCACGTGGGAAGAGGCAGGCAGGTGGGAAACGCCCACCCAGCACAACTCCCACCACTCAGAAATGCACCGAACCAGGACCAAGAAACCATCAAATGCCAAGTTTAGTGCTGACACAGGAGCTGTTTACAGCTTCTTGTGGTTTTGTAGTTATCCTGCCTCTAAGGCAGAGGGGAGAAGCTTAAGGCCTCCTTCCTTTCCTCACCCACCAGTTCTTCATCAGCAAACGCAAGGCCTGTGGATCCAGGAGGAGACCCTGCCCCTAGCTGTGCAGGCATCTGGCAAGCCGTGCAGCAGTGGTGACTGAATGGTAGCACGCCACAGAGAGGACCCCGAGGGCTGGCCAGGGAAGGCCTCCCAGGGGCAAGGGCCTCCTGGGACCACGGGGAATGAGCAGGGAGATCAAGGTCCTGCAGGGCAAGGTGGTGGGACAGCCAATGCCAGGACCTCAGGAACTTTGGCTCACAAGGACCCAGGCCTTATGCACAGAGGGAGAAGTGGTGGGCACAGAGAGGGAGACATAGGACATAAATGCAGGTACCCTTTAAATCCAAACATGGATTATGGAGCCTCTGCTGGGAGCCGAGCACTGTGTGAGGTCTGGAAGCCAAGAGCCCATCAGTGTGAAAAGGCTCTGAGAAGAACCATGAGTGACAGCGGGGTGCAGGAGGAACAGTGGGGTCTGAATTTCCTGTCCAAACACAAACACCAGGGATTTCAAGGCCTGAAGTCCAAAGCTGGTGAATCAGAATCTCTGCAGAGGGCCCGAGCATCTGCATTGTTAGTGTCCAGGGGCTCTGACTCCTGTTGATCTTGGGACCTGCCACACCACACCTCCCCGACTGCCCACCTCCAGGCTCAGGCCACTCTGCCTCTGTGCTGCAGACCTGTTCATTGACTCTTCTCCCAGGGGTCTCTTCACCTCCTTCCCTCCATTCATTCAAGCCTCAGCTCAAAAGCATCTTGTCACAGAGGTCTCCCTTGCCACCCCCCACCCCATCCAAGAGAGCTGCCACTTTCTTGTCACATCTTGTCACCCCAGCCAGTACACCCATGTGGGCTGAGTGTCCTTCACCTGAAACATCTGGGACCAGGGTGTGTGGGAGTTTTCCAGATTTTGGAATATATGAACATACATAATGAGATATCATGGGAAAGGTCCCAATTCTAAATACATGATCCATTTGTTTTACATAGGCCTTCAAAAATAGCCTGAAGGTAGTTTTATACAACAGTTGCAGTAATTTTGTGCATGAAACAAAGTTTGTGTACACTGAGCCACCACAAAGCAAAGGTGTCACTGTCTCGGCCACCCAGGTGGACAACTGTGGTCTGGCACTCTCACCATGTCTAAATCTGAACTTGTGTGCTTGTTGATGACCAATCATTTCCTCACACTTAGTCACACATATGTAGAAGACTTAACAGTAAAAATTATCACATACCAGTAATACAGGCTAACTGAGCATCACATGACACTAAAAGCTTCAGATTTGGGAGGATGTAAGATTTTGTGACAAAACATGGAAGTGCCAGCCCCCTTTCTAAGTCCCAACCTACAGACTAGTGAGTGAAGCTGTCCTCTACCAGGAGGTCCTGTAGTAAGCATGTCACTGAGCCAACACGGCACTCGCCTGTCACACCCCTGAACCCATGGATGTGCAGGTTGTAGCCGTCAATTCCAGCCAGAGCTCACAGCCCAGCCTCCTGAGTGCACTGGGGCCCTCCTTGGCCTTGAGGGTCAGGTCTGCAAACCCAGAGAGCCCCATCACCCCTGCCCCCCCACTACCGCACGGCTCCTTCCCCACTGGACAGAACGTCAGCCCCAACAGTGCCAGCACTCACGTGACTCATCCTGAACAAGCTCCAAGGTGGCACAGGCAAAGCTTTTATGCAAAGCAGATGAGAACAGACATTATTCTCCTTACAGAAAAAACAGTGAGCTCAGGGTTAACTGGTTCGAATGAAAAGATATTGTTTCTTTTTCTCATCACATCCAAAAGAGATGTGCAGAAGTAAGGGTGCCTCTACTCAAAGGAGGAGGTGCTAAGAGGCTGGCAGCAGGAGCCAGGAAAGCAGAGCCTTGCTGGGTGGGTGCTGTGTTGTCCTCCACCTGCCCAGCCTTCACATGAGCCAAGTGTCACACAGGATGAAAACTGGGCCTGATCTGAAGGCAACTGAAAGCAGGCTGCATACCTGGCTACCTCTGTGACCTTTCTGTGGCCCTGGGCCCGCCCCGGGCCAGACTGCAGGAAAAGCTGGACCGAGAGACAGCCTTCCCTTCTGCTCAGGGCCTGGAGCCCCACAGTCACACTCCTAGGCCTCAGCTCCAGCTATAGAACCCTGGCAGCTCCCACCTTCCCACGGGCTAACAAAACACAGCTGGAATATCTCCTCTGAAACTCGGCTGACTTCACCGCCACTGGAGCTTTTAAGAGGTGATCAGGTCACGAGGCCTCTGCTCTATTTGGTATCAGGCAGTGGGCTGGTTGTCTCAAGAGCAGATTTGTTAAAAGAGTGGGCTCAGCCCACCTTCCTGTCTTTGGCAAGGCCCTCAGCCATGCTGTGAGGAGTAGCACAATGCCTTGCCAGATGTGGCCCCTTTATCCTGGACGTCAGAGCTTCCAGGGAGGAGAGCCCAGTAACTTTTATGATTCATAATTTACTCCATCCTTAGAATTCCGTAACAGCAGCAGAAAACAGACTGAGGTGTTTATCAACATCCCTGGGGAGAGAATTCTTGCCCCAAGACCCACCTTTTAAAAGATGGTTAAAAGTGCAGAAAACTTGGGGTTTGTAGAAAAATTTGGGCCTTTAAAATTCTTTATAGGTAAAACCCAATATTAAGTGAAAAGGGCAATTTAGAGAATAAGAAAAACAGCAGAGTCAATGTTTTGCTTTTTATAA